AATGCTCCAATAATATAGAACGAACTTCTTTCAGGTTGTTCTATTAATAATATTCCCTGAAATCTTGGCAGATCATTACATTCATTATGAATATTTTTCGGAAGGCACTCAATTATAAACACCTTCACCAACCATGAAAGTGGTTTTGTACACTGTCCGGCGAAATTAAAGTAGTTAATAGGTTTACCCTTTAGTTAGCTAGTTATACTACTCTTTCTTATTTAAAATTTGTTTTGATAATAATTTCTTGTTTTGTTCAAAAAATTCCAGAACACTTTGTATAAGTGTAAAATAGCATTTCGCTCGGAATGAAAATCCAATTTTTTCTGGGTTTCTTTGGTTACTGAAAGGAGAGTAATCCTCTGGAATGCATGGTAAAATTGGACTTATCATGCGACTTTTCGAAAAAAATTTTTGGTACTTACGTAACTGCGTCTGAAAAACACGAATTTCACAATGAAAATGTGAACAAACCGCTATTTATCGAGATATTTTATGAAAAAGTGCGAAATTTCACCTTCTTCTGCAACCTATCTATTGTCCTTATTTTTCCATACTCAGGTTGTACTTCAATCGAGACTTCAATAACACATTTTATTTCCTAAAATCAAATCTGTGATTTGAATTCGTAGATTGTAGATTGTAGATAGGTCGTATAGGCTGAGAGACCTCTCGATCACTGCGGCCTAGAAGATCTATTGTAATTAAGTTTTGGTCCTCTAACCCTTGACTTCTGATGAAGCCTACGATTTTCCTGACGGTTGACTTTTCCACTTCAGCAGGGGTGAGATAGACCTGTTCTAGGTGGTTCAGCCTTTGGCGGACTAATACTTCACATGAGCAAAGTATGTGTTCCGCGGTTTCGGTCGCATTGTTACAAAAGCGGCAAGTGTCAGTCTCCGCCAGGCCCATTCTTTTTGAGGTGGTACCTCAGAGGGCCGTATCCTGTGAGAAAGCCTGTGATAAGCTTTAGCGCTGGTTTGCTGAGGCTGAGTAGCTCTTTGGCTCGGTTCTGCGAATGGTTGATGAACCTTTTCGCTTGTCGTTGACCTGGAGTTGCTCTCCAGTAGGAGGACTTTTCAATTTCTTCCCATTTCCCGAGTTGATTTGAATTTAGATTTGATAATTGAATGGCCGTCAGCTGGTGTGATTGTTTACCTTACTAAAATATGAAAAAAAAAACAAATGAACCACACTTCTTGTTGATTTTGGGAAATACAATGTGTTATTGAAGTACAACGTGAGTATATACTGTCCAATGATGGGAAAAGAACGACAAATAGTTGTGAATGGATATTCAAGATGGGTGGCAAAACATCGCATTTTTTCGTAAAATATTTTTTTTTATTGTACACCACCCAACAGAAATCCATTTACAGGGTGGAAGAATTATTGGTGTACAAAAAATGTATAGACTAATCGTGTGAATACAAATAAAAATACAAGGTAAGAAGAAGTGGAACACAATAGCAGTAAGAAATAATTTCAAAAACTGATTTTTTTCAACGAAGCAATGCTGCTAGAGAAAATGTCACATCTCTCATTGATGTTATTGTATCACATTTTCATTGTGAAATTCGTGTTTTACAGACGAACATACGTATGTACCAAACAAATTTTCGAAAAAAAAAACATCGCATGATGAGTGCACTTTTACCATATGCACTTTTGTCACATTCCATTAACCTCGTTTCAATCATTTCTGAACCTCGAACAAAAATGTGTTTTTTTAATGTGTATCCCAATTTTGGAACACCCTGTTTAATTATTGATGATTTAGTAAATTCTTGGTGGTGGAATTTTGCTGGGCAGTGTATTTTAATCGTTTTTCAACTGTATTAATTTCGAAACACTTTCTTTTCGGCTTGTTGAACAAGGAGAAAGTTTTTTGTAGACTTATGACCTCTCCTCCAACTACTACAGTATATATATATAGTTGTGTTTCTGTCTGAACCATGACTTAATGTTTTATTCAGAGTCGATTATGCAGACAAGCTTATTGTCAGATAACGAAAATAACAAAAATCGCACAGATAATTAAATCTTGAACCTCAGTATAAATTATGATAACTTGACAGCTATTCCAGCTATTTGGGTGATAAAGTTATGAATACTTCATTTGCAATATAAATCCAATATTCGAGCAATTTATATAGTCATGATTGATATGTACAGTGTGTGATAGTTTTAAGAATTTGTATGTTAGATTTCAATTTTTAATCATCGCCATAAATAGCGAAGTGGTCTGACGCTAGAATTGAAAAAATTGCATAAATGCATGGCACTTTTCCTCTTGTGAATTTACTAAAATTTTCAAAAATTTCCTCCAACACTTTTTCTACTCCATATCAACGATTTGTTGGAAGCAACTTCATGTCCAGTACACAGCTTCGCGGATGATAGTACCCTCCATACCGCCTTCTCTTCCAGGGCTCCAATACCAGCCAGGCAAATCAGAAACGAAAGAGAAATGTTGACAACATAAATATGAACTTGGCAACAATTCTCGAATGGGGATCCAATAACTTGGTAGATTTCAATGCAAACAAAACACAAGCATGGCTTTTCTCTAGAAAAGCCGATCTCACTGTGCCCAACATAAGCTTGTCAGGAGTTAAAATGACTTTAACGTCAATTTTCATCAAGGGACCCTAGTCAGGAGTAACCATACCTTTGAAAACATCCATTTCGATGCTTGGGATTACTATCAGCAATAACCTTTCTTGGGAAAATCACGTGAGATCAATTGCTAAAAGTGCATCCCAAAAATTTGGTTTCTGTTTCGGGCCAGGAGCTATTTAATTTCCAGTCAGCTGCTTATGATCTATAAGGCACAGATCCGACTTGTCCTGGAATACTGTTCCCATATTTGGAGTGCAGCACCCAAACATACCCTGAAACTGTTGGATTCTGTCAGAAAAAGGACAATTCGTCTCGTGAGTGATGCCTCGCTCACAAACTCACTCATTTCTCTGGAACATCGTAGAATCGTAGAAAAGTTGGCGATCTGGCTCTATTTCATAGATATTTTCATGAACGATGCTCTTCTGAAATACCAACAATTGTTCCTCCCTTTTGGTTTGGCAGTCCCCGCGAGATTAAGCCGTCGAGTTGAGGCTTCGCATTCCTTCGTGGTCACTTTGGAGACCTGCAGAACATCTCTTTCCAAAGACTCGTTCATCCAACAAACGGCGAGGCTCTGGAACGCATTGCCAAGGGAGGTGTTCCCCCGGGCATATAACCTCCAGAAATTTAATAAGAACACCAATTCCTACCTTATTTCCCTTGGTTCTCACGATGTTCTCTGAACATTACAGGATGTCCCTTTTCGTGGGAACCAGAACAAAAGAAAAAAAAATGTATCCAACTGTGACTTATTTACCATCTGAAGAACAGATTAACTCTAGTGGTTAGCGAAAAAATTGTGTTCCTGAACCTGTAATGATTTCTCTTTAGAAAATTTTCCATCAAAGCTGCATTATTCTTCAAGAATATTCCGGGAGTCTCCGCAACACTAATTTCGTCGCAACCCAAAATTTTGCTTCTGTTGAAATATGGATAACTTTTTTCGCTTTTTTCTGCTTTGAACGATTTGAATTCAGATCACACTGTTCGCTAGCCCAGTCTAGAGTTCCTGAATGTACGTGACACTGCTGTTTTGACGGTTTTTGTATATTTGTACAAGTGAAATTGTTCCAGAAATAAAAGTATGTTTCATTGGTTGAAATTTATCAGTTTTTACCCCATTCTGAACTTTTGTAATAAAAAAATATTCAACTGAACGTATACAGAGTGGAACGAAACAGAGGCTCTGTAGGTCGCCAAAACCGGATTATCAAAAAAAACTGAAACAGGTCAACTACATTTTCGAGGGGGACATCTTTCTAAAATATTTTCAGCCCTGCGGCGTTGCCACTTCTAAAGAAAAGAAGCAACAACTTTGTTATTTCAAATGGAACACCTTGTATTTTATTGCATTTTTAGATTCTCCCCGAAGAGCTGATTTCATCAATGCATCACACTTGGGGTCTAGCTGTAATGGTTTCAGGGATATAAAGTGTTCAAAATCGAGATTTTTCAACTTTAAATTTTTTTTGTGTCGAAACTATTCATTATTGGTCAAAACGGCTCTCATGTCCCTATCTCAACTTGTGATTTACTGAAAATATTGTAGGACGATGTCCCCCTCGAAAATGTAGATGACGTGTTTCAGATTCTTTTCATAATCCGGTTTTGGCGACCTACAGAGCCTCTGTTTCGTTTTCAAAGGCCCACTCTGTATATATATATACCTACATATAAGAGACTCATTTCATAGGAATAGTATATGTATTTCGTTGGTATATATGTATATACCAACTTGATATCGACCTCCATTGAGGTCCTTCAGCCTTATCATTCAATATTCCGAGAAGAAATAATTTTCTAATCAATTTATTGAACCCTTTTACCCACTCGAAGAGACGCTATGCACTCTAATACAAAAATCAAAGACAGAGAAAGATAATATGGATGTACTTTTCTCAGGACTCGTGGAGGAAGGAAGATGCGAGGATCCTTTATCTAAGCGAAAAACATATTCTTGTCCTTGTCTGGCAAAACATATGATTTGCTTCAAAATAGTGTGTGGTTATGTTTGATTGTCACTGCTTGTCTAGTGTGTGTACTCTAATATACAAAAAACGTCAAAACAGCGGTGTCGAGTACATTTAGGAACTCTAGCCCAACCTGACTTGTCCTATACATTCTGTGGATGTCTGAATGGATCAATAAAATATTTATTTATATATTTATTATTTATCTATTTATACCAATGGTTCAAACTTATAAATGAAATCGCTTATTTGAAAATCGAGAAATTAAAATTTTTAAAATTGTTTTTTCCTTCTGTAAATGAACTACTTTGCATTTGCGTCAGTATTATTCTGGGGCAGTGATATGTTTCTGATGTTATGTCACTGTGATTGTCATTCTTGAAAACAAATTCCGCTCCGTTCCAGATCTTCTTCTTCGTCGGGCAGCATCGAACCCCTCCGGCCGATCAACAGGTTGCGCGCATCGCCGCACGCCTCGCACTCGCGCATGTGCAGTCGCTGCTCCAGCCTGCTCACGCTCGCATCGACCAGTCGCTACTCGCTCAACTCGACGACGGGCGGCTTCGTGCCGGCGGCCTCGACCGCCCTGCTGTCGCCGCCCCGGCTGCAGGCGCCGCCCCAGCTGCTGGGGTCGCCGCCCGTGCTGTGCAAGCTGTGTCTGGCGGATGCGCCGTACGGGGCAGTGATGCGCATCGAGGAGTGCGGTTGTGCCTTTTGCGTAGAGGTGGGTGCATGGCTTGGTATAGTTATAAGTTATAATGTTCATTGTTCATTCGGGTTGCGATTTCAAAACTGTTCATGAATCGTTCTCGAACTGCGTAGAACTAGTGCGCAGTCGTTTCGAATCCTAGGACTGTTTCAAAACGGTTCACAAATTATGAAAACCCGAACGCGGCAGAAGAGAACCTCTGAGAACATAACCTCTATTAAAAATTTGCGAAAAAACAATAGTTTTGAACCTGTATCTTTATTCGTATAATATTCTGAAGCTTCAAACTCTCCTTTGAGTCTATTCACAATATCTCTGGAAGCCCTCTGTGGAAAAATGGTGAATATATTCCATCATAGCATTCATAGCTAGATTTTCAATATGTTTTGTTCCTTGTACCTACATGCATGAATTTCGACACCCACCTGAAATGTTCAGTGAATTGTGTATCTGAATATAATGGCAAAGTATCTCCAACATAATCCTCCATTTTTCGGATTATCTAACAAAAGTTCAAGAATTATCAGATTAGGCACAATATTTTCAGCAACTTCAGCAAGGAACTCCTTCACCACTGCTTCCTGAAGATGAATAACTACTACTTCCAAATGAATGTACCAACTCCATAACATTGAGATAATATTGAAAAAAGCAATCAACAGTTGAATAAACAAAAATATATCATTATGACTTATGACGTTACGCTACAACAGACAGAATCGAAAACTAAATGAAATGAGCATGCGTCAAAAATAATCCTAGAACGGTTCATGCGCGAGAGCAGGTATTGGTTTCGGATATTGACACTGCTGTTTTGACGTTTTTTGATTCGCGAGATTCACGAAGTGGGCGACATCTAGGTTACATAATAAGAACTTCAAACTGGGGGAAAACAAGCTGTTGTCTATGGATAAAGTGCATAGACAACATTGCATTCTGCTTGCTGTAGTGGTAGTCAAACTTGTCAATGGCATAAAGTGTTGGCACTATTGGTAGTGATGATGGTTGAGTTGGTTAATTTTTGTACACTATTACATTTTTATTAGTTTAGTGAACAGTGAACGGGTGGAGAATTGGAGATAGTTCAAACAATTCAAACTTTGACATGGGACGATGAAAACCGAGCGCCACCTGGTAACATTGATTCCCGCGAATAGAGTTATAAGGTTCATTGTTCATTCGAGTTGCGATTTCAGAACTGTTCAAGAATGAGGAGTGCGGTTGTGCTTTTGTGTAGAGGTGGGTGGCTTGGTATAGACATCCTAAATGTACTTGACACTAGGGTCCCTTGATGTAAATTGACGTATTTGTCATCTTAAGAGGGTACGAACAGATCCTCGTCTCCTCTCACTCTAACGTGTTTGTGAATATATAGTTCCATCTTCATTCATTTCTGGGGATAAACACTAGATTTCTGACGTATGTTGTTTTTTTAGGTTATATTGAAGACATTGGCGTATCATACGTAACTTCCACATGTAATTTCTCATTCAACTCAACATTTTATATCCAAATGATGATGATAATTTTCGAATTTTTGATTTTTCAACTCCAGCATAATCTTTGTGAGGCAATGAGCAAATTTTTCTGAAAGTTCAATACGTTTTACCAAATGGGACTGTTCTTAGGCAGTACCTATCAATAAATGAGTAGTGGTGACAAATGTCTAGGGGAGATTCATCTCACCAAAATATGAACATTGGTCCGAAAATGCCTCGTTTATTTCGAGATACAGGGTGTCCAAATTTAAAAAAATGAGTTTTTTATTAATATCATGAAAACGCTTTAGCCGATTTGGATGAAATTTTCATAGTTTATTTTCACCATTATCAGACATTTACTGGACCAATTAGATTTGATCCAAAATTTCCAGAGGCGTATCCATCGAGTAAGTCGGCTTTTTTTGTGGAAAAAAAAGCCACCCTGCAAAAATACGTGACATGAAATATGTAATTTGATTATATTGATTGATTTGTATTCAACAATCCTCAAAACAAGTTACACTTCCTTAGATTTCTGTTTAGTTTATTCAATACACTATACAGGGTGGGTCACGGTGGATGGCCTATTAGAAGTATCTGGAGAACGAAATGACAGAACATTCTGAAATTTGGGATGTTTCAATAATTGAACATTCTCTATTCGTCTGAAATGTTTTAATCGATACAGTGTTGCCACTTCTATCAGAAACAACTAGCAACTTTGTTATTTCATATGGAACACCCTGTATTTTATTGCATTTTCAGATGCTTCCTGAAGAGCTGATTTCATCAATGTATCATACTTGGGGTCTAGCAGAAATGATTACAGAGATATAGGGTATTCAAAATCAAGATTTTTCAATTTTAGGATTTTTTTGTGTCGAAACTATTCATTATTGATCAAAACGGATTACATGTCCCTATCTTAACTTTCGATTCAGTATCTACTGGAGTTTAATTGGGAAAAATACAGGGTGCTTCAAGATTCAGAATTCTGATCACCCTGTATTTCTTCCAATTAAATATCAGTGGATAGTAAATCGAAAGTTGATATAGGGACATGTGAGCCGTTTTGACCAATAATGAATAGTTTCATCACAAAAAAATCTCAAAATTGAAAAATCTCGATTTTGAACGCCCTATATCTCTGTAATCATTCCTGCTAGACCCCAAGTATGATACATCGATGAAATTAGCTCTTTAGGAAGAATCTAAAAATGCGATAAAATATAGGGTGCTCCATTTAAAATAACGAAGTTGCTAGTTGTTTCTGATAGAAGTGGCAACACTGTATCGATGAAAACATTTTTGACGAATAGAGAATGTTCAATTATCAAAGCATACCAATTTTCAGAATGTTCTGTCTTTTCATTCTCCAAATACTTCTAATAGGCCATCCACCGTGACCCACCCTGTATATTTATCTCTGATTATGGAAAATATTCTTTGAACAAATATCTTTATTATTATTCAATTTGATGCTTTTTGGGATAGGTCGCTAATTTCATATTTTTCGACGTTTGGAAACGTTTAATTAAAAATCTGGGATCTACCTTTATTTATATCATGGTAATGACATGGCGGCCGTTCGTTCATGAGAGAAGGTTACCATAAATATTACAAAATATATGATAATGAGATAATTAAAATGCCTCCTCGATGATATTTATTCATCATAATTATTGTATTTTAGGAGTTCAGTAACATTAAAAGAAGGATAAACGAGCTGTTATTCACAGAAAAGTGTTACCTATTGAGAACAAATTATATAGTTCTGAATCAAATTCTAGATTTCTTGACAATATAATCAACACTAATAGACTAGCAAGTATTTTTCGAAAATATTACGGTTTAAAAAAAATTGACACATGAATATTTAGACTAAAAAATTCTCTTTTGACAGTCTTCCACCATTTGGGTGACTTCAATATAGAAATTGAACAATACATATTTGGTCCGATTAATCTTCGGATTGTGTTCGCATTTTTCGGAATTATAAAATACAGTTCTGAAACTAAAAGAACAAATATCTGAAAACATCTTATTCAATGAATAAATTGATTGATTGATTGATTGATTGAATGCATGTATTTTTTGTGACTATCTCTGATCGATTCACACTAACGATTTCAGGTGATCGGTTATTTCTTCCAAACGATTTAAATTAAAAGCGATTTTGTGGAATGTATTTTATTTGATACTTTGTCGATATAAATTTAGAGCATAGTCACACATGCTTAACGATATGACATGTCAACTACTACTGCCGGATCTAGGAGCAAGGGGGGGGGTGCGGAGACGCCGCTGAGCCAAATATGGTAATAATGATAATTCACACAATTGATTGGTACAAAATTTAGGTGACAGCCGCAAGCACTCGCAGGTACTCTTTTAGCGGGAATATTTGAATAGCATTGAAAAGGATTAAAAGTATACATCAGTAGGAAACATTCTGAACAATCTCTTCCAGCCTATTTTGAAAGTATATAACGCAGAGGCATTGAGGGTAAACATCTAAAATTCTTCACAGGGACATATGGGATTGCAATGGGGAATTAAGTGAGTTTTTTTTTTTTCGAAAATCAGAAGGTATAAAAGAATTCAACACCGGTACATTATGAATAAAATAAATGTATTGTTTTTCCACCTAGGAAGATATCGATAGTGACAGAAATAAGAAATTCGTTGCACTTGCAAAAAAATTCAAAATGGACATAGCCAAAACATTTTTTTTTACTCAAAACTTTCGAAAAATATGTTCACGAGATTCAGCTTTTTTGAAATGAAGTTGATTATGACCTAGATGATCAATCAAGGTTCAAAAGACAGTTTTCTTTATCAGTTTCATACAGGGTGATCCACGGTGGATGGCCTATTAAAAGTATCTGGAGAACGAAGAGACAGAACATTCTGAAAATTGGGATGCTTCGATAATTGAACATTCTCTATCCGTCTAAAATATTGTCATCGATACAGTGTTGCCACTTCTATCAGAAACAACTAGCAACTTCGATATTTCAAATGGAGCACCCTGTATTTTATTGCATTTTTACATTCTTCCTGAAGAGCTGATTTCACCAATGCATCACACTTGGGGTCCAGCAGGAATGATTACAGAGATACAGGGTGTTCAAAATCAAGATTTTTCAATTTTAGGATTTTTTTGTGTCGAAAGTATTCATTATCGATCAAAACGGCTTACATGTCCCTATCTTAACTTTCGATTCACTATCTACTGACATTTAATTGGGACAGATACAGGGTGATCAGAATTCTGAATCTTGAAGCACCCTGTAGTTTTTCAATTAAATTTCAGTAGATAGTTAATCAAAAGTTAAGATAGGGACATGTAAGCCGTTTTGATAGATAATGAATAGTTTCGACACAAAAAAATCCTAAAATTGAAAAATCTCGATTTTGAACACCCTATATCTCTGTAATCATTCCTGCTAGACCCCAAGTGTGATGCATTGATGAAATTGGCTCTCCAGGAAGAATCTAAAAATGCAATAAAATACAGGGTGTTCCATTCGAAATAAGAAAGTAGCTAGTTGTTTCTGATAGAAGTGGCAACACTGTATCGATGAAAATATTTCAGACGGGTAGAGAATATTCAATTATCAAAGCATCCCAATTTTCAGAATGTTCTGTCTTTTCGTTCTCCAGATACTTCTAATAGGCCATCCACCGTGGATCACTCTATATAAATGTATTTTTGTGAAAACAAAAGAAGTTTCTCTTCGAAAAAAGAAATATACTGAATCTGGCAACCCTGCTAAGTATCTAGCATAACTGATATTAGTCATAGTCTGAAGTACACTTTTTGTGGTTTGTTGAAAATATTTACAGTAAATGGACGATCCCGCATAAACAAATTAGTTTTTTTATCGATGTCGAACATTTTAATTACTATCAAAATGCATTTTGTTGAGTAAACACTTATATGTAGGTACTGTGTGATAGTTTCAACGTTCGCACTCATGATTATCTTCTCCATTTTGGATTAGAGCCGGAAAATTTGAGAATCGAGGACGAAATATATATTATGAAAATCGTTAAAGGAGGTGAAACTGTATTTCTATATTGTCCATAGTCTGATCAGATCGTTTGACCTTGAGAAAACGACCTCAAAGGATATTTATTTATCAAATTTGAATACAAATCATCTGCTCTTGAGAATCTTCATTATCTAGCAATGTTTGTATCGTTCTCCTTTACATGTGCTAGGAAATATACAATTATTTGACATCTTTTATCAATTTTTCTTTATTTATTTTATTGCCAGACAGCTTGGACCATATTTTCCAAATAACTTGTTTGAATATTTTAACAAGACATAATAGTATATTGAAAACCCGTGAATTAGGTGGTATAGTATATCCAATATCAATTGCAGAATATCCCGCACTGTGCGGCGTCGGCGTGTTTGAAGTTTCCTTTGAAGTGACTGCAGGTGCGGCACGAGATTCTGCAATTGTTTTTGGATAAACTATTGGTACTTTTATTAATTCGCTGAGGGATTGAGAAGAACCGTCCCGTGGGTAAAAAGTACTGTTTTATTCCCTGGAGTGCATAATAGTATATTATGTAACAAGTGTTATAAACGCATTTTTAGTAACGAGTATTTTAAGCACGAGCGGAGCAGAGCGGAGCGAGTGTTTAATTAACGAGTGTCTAGAAGAGTTTATAAACGCGTTACATACTATGCTTTTTCTACGAACTCCGAAAATTACATTAACATACCTGCTATTCTTGCTAACCTACTAAATAATTCGAAAGGAATGAGAATGGAGACCATTATACATGCAACTGCATGCAACCAGCGAGACACGTATAAGTGATATTGGTTGTAGATGTGTCCAGTCCATTGCTTACTAACCTTTGTTTCACGTTTATTGTCATGCTTAGCGCAGAATAAATGAATTGTTCTCAAAGATGGATGCTTCATTTTTACACTTCTTGGAGATATGCAAGTACCAGAACATTCTATTCGATTTCACTTTCGTCTACATCTCATATATTTTCAATGAAGAATTCTGATACAAACGAATATTGTTTGAATAACTCTGATACAAAATTTGAAAATAACAGTTGACTTTTAATACAATTGACAGGCCATACATGTCTCAAATTACTGAAGCTGTGTTTAATGAACTGTGTTGCCATGGTGATGTGTTTAAGAAATCGTGTTGCCATGGTAACGTGTTTAATATGTTGAATAAATCACAGATCGGCAATCCGTGATTAATCTATCATTTAGCGTGGTACATATCCGTACGCTAAATGCCATTTTAGTTATGTGAGTAGAAAAAGTTTTTACAAGCAGCTGCAAACTCTTTGTCGGTTTTATGTGAATCAACCTTAACGCTATAGATTAGACTTTCAATTAAATGAATAATAATTATTATTATCGTGTGCTAAGAATTGGTAAATTAGGTACTAATGTCATGGACATTCAAACACAATATCTATAGTTTCTTCACCAAATAATTACACAAGTGATAATCATCACTGTTAGGTATATACCCAGAACCTACCAAACAACTTCATAAAATGTAACTACCTGATAATATTAAAACACTAATCATGGCTTCTGGGTCATAGCCTACTTTACCATTCAAAAATCTGCAAATGTCAACCATTAGCAAGATAGTACTGCAAATTACGCCGACTATGAATAATGAATAACGGCGAATTCTTCCAATATCTTGATTTGACTAACTAAAGACATATATATTATTTGTTTTTCAGTGTATGAAGGCCTATGTGGAATTTGAAATAGGCGAAGGGTCATATGATATTTCATGCCCTGATGCCCATTGTCCATCTCAGGGAGTTTTACGACAAGAAGAGATCAAAAGACTGGCTGGAAGTGATTTATTAGAGAAACATAATATGTACCGCCTAAATAGAGGTAAGATTTTTTTCAGTTTCCGTTATGTAATCATTTCTGTTGCAAACCAATAATTTTAACAACTGAGTAACTGATTGCAGTTAGAGTCACTGGATGGTATACCATCCAGTGACTCTAATTGCAGTGATGACTCCATATATCTACTATTTCTATATATGGCGCATCGCCTATATGATATCTCAACAAAAAAGGACCAAAATGAGAGGTACTTTTTGAATCTATAAGGACGGAAAGTGAAGGATGGAAACTGCTGACGTGAGGATCAGATTTTAAGTTAGGTTAGGATTTGATCATAATGAAATATTAAAATTCGTCAATTGTTGATAATACCACAGTATAATACCGTAAACTTCGATTTATTCCTTTATAATGTGGTTGAAATATAGCAAAGCATAATTTCAGTAACTTTGAGGAACAGGAGAGAGCCATTGCAGATAATAATGAAATGAACTGCGATAATGATTTCATTCAGTTCGCTGGAATCTCGAAACTCACACCTCACACCCTTTAATCCAACATTATTGCTTCAGATCTTGGTATTGAATATTGAATATAGGTCAGGGTTAACATAGGTATATGTATTCTTTTTCAATGTGGTGAAAGTGATCTACACAAATCTGTTTAGCGTGATAGGACTACACTACACTACTTGTCATTTACTGATTCAAACTTAGTTTACCTACTTCAAGGAAATTCCCATTATATTATGCTTGTTGCTGGATGATTGACAACTCCATTGATAATGTAACTAAGTGTGTACCTTTGTGCAGGTCAATATAATATGCATAAACAAGAAAATTTGAAAATTCAAACTTACTTATGAAAAGAGGATCCCTGTCTATTCTTTTCTCCGCAAATACTGCATTTCCTTCCACTAGACATGGTTAAAAAAGATCAGTCTATGAAAAATAAACGAAAACACAAACACTAAAGAAATTTGCAACTAAAAACGCAAATATTCGAATTTCAATCACAATCAATTACATACGCGCTCAAACCAATTTTAAAATTTGAAATTCGTAGCCATATTGGTTTAACAAGTTTCTTATTATTTTTTCCCTACGTCGGCAGCAACGCCTATTGGTCGATTTCGTTACCTATAGGGACAAAAGTTTGTCCCGCTTTGAGAACAGCTATGCTTCATATATTAAGTAGAAGATATATGGATGACCCCATACCAGACATTTCAATAATTTTACAAATTAAAGTCAAAGTCGACCAAATATTCTGATAATGTCACAATAATAGGTGTTTTCTCCATGTCACCACATAGAGGTAGGACTTTCACTATGTTACAACATGGAGATCGTAGTTCACCCATATAGATTTAAAAGGGGTATGCGTGTCTTGAGGGTTTCCGACAGGTAATATTAAAATAGGCACTGATAGTCTAGTGGTAGCTGATATTACGAGACTATATTATTCAAACATATTTATTGAAGTATGAAACATTATGGATAGTGATGATGAATTGAATAAACAACAATGGATATAAAGACCGAATAACAATTTACATTATGATGACCATTTCGACGAGTTCTTGTCAAGTCAAGTCTGGGGCCAAACTAAGTTCGTATTTAGATTTCTACGTTTCTCATCATGAGAGTTCCTTGATCAGTAGGTATTCATAGTTCAATGTCAACGGATGATTTGATTAACTTGATGTTTGTAAAACCCTCATGGTTCGAAATTACTAATATAACGAATGTTCTACTCGTGAAAATAATTCAAAAAATTTCAATTGACAAGTTGAAACCAGAGCTGGATCTGGATTTTCTACCGGTTTTTAAAATCTAAAGGTTTGAAAAGAATAAGTCCGATTCTGGTATGGTTTGTTTGCTGTTGTAGCAAAATTAATTTGGAATGAGATTAAATACAGGGTGATTCACCATAAATGCCCCATCCCTCTAGCTCACTTATTTTTGAACCGATTTGAAAAATCATCTGAAATGATTTTTCAGAAAAATTTTTCCCGTTGCATCAGCAAATACAGGATGCTCGATCTACAGAGTGCTACTTGATTTTTTCAAACGGAACACCCTGTATTCCATTGTATTTTTAGATTCTCCCTGAAGAGCTGATTTCATCAATGCATCACACTTGGGGTCTAGCGGGAATGATTACAGAGATATAAGGGGTCCAAAATCGAGATTTTTCAATTTTAGGACTTTTTCGTGTCGAAACTATTCATTATTGGTTAAAACGGCTTTGATGTCCCTATCTCAACTTTGGATTTACTATCTACTGACATTTCATTGGAACATATACAGCGTGGTTCAAGATTCAGAATTCTAAACACCCTGAGTTAACTTGGCTCCTCCACCATTCCTATGACTGATAATCCACATTCACACAGAGTTAAAATGCGATTCCCTGTACCAGTACGATGTTGCCGACATCATCAATATGTCTAGATTTCCAGAAATTGTTCTTTGATCGCATAATAACTATATCATAACAGCAATATATGGGATATAATATTGGTTCTTCAATCCTACTTCGTCAAGTATTATGAATAATTCCATAAATCTCTCATTGGCTGAATGAAGTTGATTACTAACAAAGATAAATTATGATATTTTGCGATAGTATCTATAATTTTTTACTATCGTTATATTACAATATGTTATTCATAACTTGTTAGTCATTTTTTTGCTAATGAATTCGTTCCTTGATAAAAACGGATTTATTTTCTAGGAAAGTTGCAGATTAAATCTTGCAACAGCGTCTAATACTTCGAGTCCGTCCACACTTCTTAAAATACTAACAGGCACAACAAGAGGAAGGAGCCATGGGTGTCGGCTTCATTCTGTTCTGACCGATGGCAGTAAATTAGGAAGGATAGTATCATTGAATATAGCCGATAGTGATTCATTGACTCAATGATATTTTCGTTTAGGATCGAGCTCTATTCAAGATATTTCAATGCATAAATAACAAAACCATAACCTGTCAGAATGAAGCCAACTACCTTCTGCATTCCTACCCCGAGTGCATTTGTGGTTATGTATGTTTTTGTTTACCAGTTTCACTTCTTCTTCTATTTTTTTCATTCGTTAGCTATTCGTTTGCTATTCGCTAGCTATATTCTTCACCATCAGCTATTTTCAGACTAGATTCAGAATGTACGTCACAGTTTGCCGCCTCGAAAATTAGAAATTGCTGTAATCTGAGAATAAAAACGACTTGGACTTTATCGGTCGCCATCCTGTACAGCGTGGACATAAAACTGGAGAGTTCCGAACTTATATTATGAAAATTCATCCGAAGGAAACTTCCCTATTCTGTAGAGTTATCCCCACCATTCGAGATTTGATTTATTCATCTGTGTTTGCCGTTTAGGATTGTTGACGTATGCTCTCTAATGATTTATGAATATCCATTTCGCAGAAGTAGACCTGGACAAGACGCGCACCTGGTGCCCCCGCGCGGGCTGCGAGACCGTCTGCTCATTGTGCCCCCAACAAAAGTGCGCCCCGCAAAGCGTGTACTGCCCCACGTGCGCCCACTCCTTCTGCAGCAACTGCAAGCGCGAGTGGCACGCGGGCGGGCCGTGCGAGGAGCGGGCAGGCAGCGAGGGCGGCATCCCGTTCGACTCGGAGGCGATCAAGTGCTGCCCGATGTGCAGCGTGCCCATCGAGAAGGACGAGGGGTGCGCGCAGATGATGTGCAAGCGGTGCAAGCACGTGTTCTGCTGGTACTGTCTCGCCAGTTTGGATGTGAGTAGGGGGTTGGGGTTCGGTTGTTGTGTTTCGGGTGGCTGACCAGCAAAATTGAAGCGCCAACTGGAAGGTATAGTAAGGAATTGGGTATAGGAATAATTCTGATTTTTCAAATTACAATTGAAAGTTGACTGGCTTCTCTCAACATTTCTATGAACTCTATTATGTAAATTCTTCATAACAAAAATGTAATTAATGAATTTATTACAAAGGAGTCTTGATAGATGTGAAAAACAAATATGGAAAATTCTATAAAATAGGATGTTGTTGGAGAGTTGAAAAGGTTGTTATGTCAGAAGTGAACAAAATGGATAGGACACTATGGTGGTGCGTTAAATTTGCTGGTCAGTGTATGAATATTGTATATAGTACTTCGGACGTTAACCCTCGTGTCGATCACGTGGCATTACGAGACGCCATTTTTTTTTCATGTCAATCTCACTTAATTCTCATGTACGATTCACCTTATTCTCACGTGAATTTAACGTAATTATCACTTGAGTTGAACGTAATTTTCACGTTACTTTATCGTAATTCCAATACACTTCTCATGTAATTTTTACGCACATTTCATGCACGTCTCGCGTTCTTCTCACGTAAGTATAACGTCATTAACATTTATTTTTCATGTAATTCTCACGTACGTTTCACATACTTCTCATTTATGTACCTAATTATCACGTGCACGTTCACTTTCGATATTCTCAGCTAATTTCCACCGAAATGTCACGTTTGAATGATGTGGAATTCACTTTAGAATGTGAAATTCCAAATAAGTCTGAAGTAAATTCCACATATTCCTCACATACAATGCACTCGATTCTTGGATAAGTTTCCTACGTAATTTTTTCGTACGTTCTACGTAATTCTCACGTAAATTTCCTGTTATATCCACGTACATTTCATGTATATCTCATGTTATTCTCTTTCACTTCCACTGTAATTCACACGTAAATTACACTTAATTCTAACTTACGTCTCACGTAATTCTAACGTACCTACGCATCACACGTGAAACATAATTGAGCTTGGTTTTGTCTGGACCAGGACGACTTGTGGCATCGCCAACAGGTGATCGGCTTCTGGAGTCTTCTCGTCGCTTCCCGTTGTTTTCATGTACATTTAATGTATATCTCACGTTATTTTCTTCCAAGTCTCATTTGTTTCTCACGTAAATTATACGTAACCTTCACGTTATTCACACGATGTTCCACGAACATTATAGGAATTTCCTTTCATGCGCTCCAAGATATACAAAAACGTACGTTTCCTGTAATTCTGATGTACTCATCGCACGTCAGCCAGAACTGGGCTTGGTTCTGTCCCAATCAGGACGACTTTGGTCAGCGACAACTAAAATGGATCGTTCAAGAACAATCTCGGTCTGAATATATTCTTACGTAATTTTCACGTACCTTATCATCAATTCTCACGTAGGATTCTGGTTATATTCATGTACATTTCATGTATATCATTGTCATTCTCTTTCATTTCCCCTGTAATTCTCACGTAAATTTCAAGTAATTTTCACGTAATTCTCACGTAATTCTCACGTTCATTTCACGTAATTTCAACGTACGTTTCACGTAATTCTAACGTATGTTTTACGTAATTGACCGAATTGGGCTTGGTTTTGTCTGGATCAGGACGACTTTTTGCTGCGCCACTACGACAAGGGCCCCTGCAAGAACAAACTGGGCCATTCGCGCGCCTCCGTCATCTGGCATCGCACCCAGGTGATCGGCATCTTCGCCGGCTTCGGGATTCTTCTTCTCGTCGCTTCGCCCCTTCTGCTGTTGGTCGCGCCGTGCATAGTGTGTTGCAAGTGCCGAATGTGTAGCGCGGCGAACGCTAACAAGCTGGACAACGAGGACGCTGTGGATGAGTCGTGATGCGCCCTTCAGTAGGGTGATTTTTGGCACGAGTTCGTTTTGCCCAAACATGCGTATAGGCGATTCCTAGAGACCAATCGGAGCGATTCCTAGAGACCAATCGGAGCGATTCGGGCTATGGCGGTGAATTCACATCACCGATGTTGGCAGTTAATTCGAATAACGAACAGTTTCACATCAAAGGAAACATAATGTATTTGTGTCATGGTTAGTTGGTGGTTGAATCATCTAAAGAAATTGTTATAAGGAAAGAAAATATCCTCTCTGCTTAAAGAAGCAGATAACTTTTTCAAGCAATCTAACCTAACTCGGTCTAAATGAATTCTCATTATAATTAAATTAACTGATAATAAATGGGTAATTTGAAGAAATTATTGTATGCATATAGTGTCCTCCAAGCACTTACTACAAATTGTACTATGAGGAGATAATTGCATGTTCACCGCTGCTTAGCGAGAAAGGAGACATACGAACAATTCTTGCTAGCACACAGACGTTTTTGGAGCGTTCTGATTGGTCCTTAGGGATCCCCTATACATATGTTTGGGCAAAACAAATTCGTGTTCTTTTCCGCGTGTTGGACTTTTTGTGGTGGCTCGGGGAAGTGACACTTTAGTGGGGTGAGTTTATTTGTGTAGGAGGTGAAATTCCACCAGCGGATTTTGCGACTGATAAGTTTTGAAAAGGAATATTCTCACAGATATTATGAACATGATAATAAAAGGGGATTTACGACGATCAGAGCCGCCTATTCATAGTATATGATGAATAATTTTATTTGCTTTTATGCTTTTCAAACTATGATAGGTATATTATAGCGGTGCTATGGCTTGGAACGTGTTTTGTCAGTCAGCCTGTATATGTTTGTTTGAACCATTGTTAATATTTTCGGTCGTAAAATTCGCTCGTGAAATATTGCTCGCGAGATTGCTTGCTAATTTCGGGGTATTCTGTTTAATCTATTGGATTAATTCAGTGGTTTGAAGAGAAGCTTTTATACAAAATTATGAACGAAACTGATTTGATTTGATTTGACAATAAGCCAATAAATGGACTCTCATTGATAACTAGGTAATGCTTTTAATCTTGGTGATAATAAATGAGATTAACAAGATCAATTCATTGCTCATTGAATGGAAAATCAGTTCTTCAATAGGCCTTTTCATTTCAATAAATTAGCGAGACGCATGCGCTCGTTTTTAGATCCAGAAATTTATTGGCTAATGCGAAGGTGAAGTCTCATTGGCTATAGTTCCAACACAAATTGCTGATTGGTCATTTCGAATATGGCGGGTATTATTGACGTACTGTCAAATGTCAACAGTGTCAACCTCCATGGGCATTCGTCATTGAGAAATAACAACATAGTATTTTCGTTTTTATATTCCTGGTGTAGGTATTATAATAATTTAATTCCAAAAAACTTACTTGCTCTTTATTGGGGAGTGTGGTACTGTGGTGTAAGTGTTTCGGTGAAAATGGCCGCCACTGTCGTTGGATGCGAGATGCATAGATGAACCAAACCCGTAAACAGAGATAAATCATTTGTCATCTAAATGAAAAGGCCTATTTTAAACTATACTGATGTGTTGTCTCTGTCAACCACCAAAACCTAGAAACCATTCATTAGGCTTTTTGACTTTTCGCTAAGCCTCCATAACCCTCTAGGAAATTCAAGAATACATACATCGTATTGTATTGATCATTCCAGAACACGTGATTTTGACATGGTTTCTTGAGGGGCACACAAACTATCTGTTAGGTTACCTTTGATGAGCATAGCCCTGGTCATCCCTGCCACATCCACCATATTATAATAACAGTTTCACCAAACAAAATTTTTGGTTCCAACTCGGATTCCAAGGAGAACGATCCCACTAATGCTGGTTATATGATAAATCTTGACAAAATACAATGTTTGCCCCTCAGCAAACTGTCAAATGACGTAATTCTGGAATGATTAATAGGTCGCGTGCACGATGACCGACCCTGGAGGCAAAATATTGAAACACAACCTCACTCTTCTGTGAATTATTGAAACACAACCTCACTTTTTTATTTGTTTACAGAGGAATCAAAAGGTTGAAATAGTTTTTCACAATATTTTGGCATACGAATCGTGTTTCTTGCGTTATTCATTAATTCAAGCATGCCTTCGCATTGTGCTGTTGTACAATGCACAAAAAATGCAGCAAGAGACTAGGGAATATGATTTTTCAGGTAAATAGTAATCTCACATAGTTATCATTATGAAATGTTATTCCTTATTGAAATTCCTTCTGCCTTCTGCCACTTCTGCAATACAAGCTAATACTGCTAATAGATTGAAAATATCTACAACACACACGATCGTCAGCATGTCAGACCAGTATCCTCCCGATTGATTGCATGAATCCAATCTTGCATTATTCTAGAAATTTCAGGTATATTTCTATTAGCTCCTATTGCAGAAGGAATTCCGATGAGAAATCAGAGAAATAACCAAATTTCAAAAATGAAAACTATATGTGAGTGACTATAGTAGGTACTTACTTTTAAATCATAATATACCGTCCGGATTACTTCATCTTCCGCTGCAGTTTTTGTACATTTTACAACAGCACAATTTGGTGGCATGAGCGCTCGCATGAGCGAATTGATGAATAGCGGAAAAGTACGATTCATATGCCAAAATAATTGTGGAAAACTATTTCGATCACTTGTAAACAAATAAGAAAAGTGACGTTGTGTTTCAATGTTTTGCCTCCAGCGTCGGTCATCTGACAGTTCTTGCACGCAACCCATAGGAACTAACAAGCAAGTCAAGAAATATTTTTCATTTTGTTTTACCAATTTTATCAAGTAGTGGTCTCATTTTTTGTTATGACATTATTGCAAGAGAGTGATACTTCCTTGTACACAATCAAATATAATTTATTTTCAATTACATATTATGATAATTAATAATTAAGAAATTGAATTCGTGACTCTTTGATAAGAATTAAACCAGTTGTTGATTAAAGAAAATTCCTATCGAACCGTGTGAAAAAAATGTAGATTTATATTCAAAATAGAAAGTTTTGTTGCCGACTTTCACACGGGAAGATCTAAAATATAAAATATTTCAGGTATAGATGTGGGGCCAACGTAAATCATCCTGTATATATACTTATGTCCACTATGGGAAAATTAAAAACTGAGTTGTTTCATTTATTCATCATTGAAATTTAGTCCCACAGTGCTTCTAACGATTTCTGATAAATCCATCACCCTCACCCTCAATTTAATTGACCTATTATGTCATATTAAGAGGCAGAAAAAGCAGTAGTGACTATATTAGGCATTTTTTTGCACCCTGTATGTATTAAAGTTTCTCTTCACTATCCGAGCTTTGGTCTAGTCTTATGAAATGCAAAATAACTTGCAATATATATAATTGCATCACTGATAATGAGGTTATGTTATTAGGATTGGTGTGAGTTTTCAACATGGACGGAATCTGTGATAGAACTGTGATTTATTAATAACCGTCTGTGTCTTAAACTCTTTAAGTTGCAAATTTATTTGTATGATGTGAAAGTGCAGTTTGTGGATTATTTTTTACGGATATGATTTCAATTCACAGTGGCCGACAAATAAAAGCATATACCCTATGCTATACAGGGTGGCCCACGGTCGATGGTACCTTAGACGTATACGGAAAACGGTACATTGGATTATCCTGAAAATTTGATTACTCTAATAAGCGTTTGTGATCTAACGATTCAAAATATTTTCAGCGAAGCAGCGTTGCCACTTTTACCAAAAAGTAGCATCATCTTTGTTATTTCAAATGGAACACCCTGTATTTCATTGCGTTTTTAGATTCTTCTCGAAGTGGTGCACCTTGTATTTTATTGCATTTTTACATTCTTCCTGAAGAGCTGATTTCATCAATGTATCACACTTGGGGTCTAGCAGGAATAATTACAGAGATATAGGGTGTTCAAACTCGAGATTTTTCAATTTCAGGAATTTTTTGTGTCGAAACTATTCATTATCGATCAAAACGGCTTACATGTCCCTATCCCAACTTTCGATTCACTATCTACTGACTACTGACATTTAATTGGAACAGATACAGGGTGATCAAAATTCTGAATCTTGGACCATCCTGTATTTTTTCCAATTAAATGTCGGTAGATAGTTAATCAAAAGTTGATACAGGGACATGTAAGCCGTTTTGACCAATGATGAATAGTTTCGACACAAAAAAATCCTAAAGTTGAAAAATCTTGATTTTGAACACCCTATATATATCTCTGTAATAAATCCTGCTAGACCCCAAGTGTGATACATTGATGGAATCAGCTCTTCGGGAAGAATTTAAAAACGCAATAAAATACAGATTGTTCCATTTGAAATAACAAAGATGATGCTACTTATTGCTAAAAGTGGCAACGCTGCTTTGCTGAAAATATTTTGAATCGTTAGATCACAAACGCATATTAGAGTAATCAAATTTTCAGGATAATCCAATGTACCGTTTTCCGTATACGTCTAAGGTACCATCGACCGTGGGCCACCCTGTATACCCACGGTATGCACCATATAGAAAACTTTTTCTTCATTGATTTCTCAGAAAATGTTTTTCCTGATTATTATGCACTCCTAAAAATCGGGAAAATATCAAGAATTAGACTTCATACAGCTTACTTACAAGGGAGATTAAAAAACGAATATTTGTTGCCCCAAGGGCTATGCTACTATAAAAATTGGAATCAGAAATCAGAAACCGTTTTGTTTTTGTTTTTTTCTTGTTCAATATTTTGTAGGTTCTATCAAATAACTAATGAGAAAACAGATTGAATACATTCAATCAAGTCATGATTTTTTTAATAAAAACCGATATTTTACAGGAATATAGTAAAATTTTTTGACTTCCCTTGTATGTTGAAGATGTAACAAATTTTGACTACTTCAATAAGAAGTTCACGGACTGTTTGAAAAATTTTCAGAGAAATTAGAAATGGAAGTTATTCATGATTTCCATATGATGCATATTTTCTGGTGGTCTTTCATGTAATATACTGGAAAATATTATTAGCATATTCTGGCTACCCATTACCAAAAATGAATTATGTGTTGGTGGAATGAAGTTTATGAAATTTTGGATTGATTTTGTTTTTCTCCAACGCTGACCTGAAATGATTATACCATATCACTATTTTTTGTTCTTATATATTTTATTATTTAAGGCCTTGTATTATAAGATTAATACTTGAAATTTTTTGTTAATCTGGTGATATTTCCTCAGTTGGCCTTTATATTTGATGAAGCAATTAAAATGTTCAAATTTAAACCAGTTGTTATTCCAAACCCAAACATGAATTGAGGCATGTTTAGTGATGAGAGCCTGAAATTTTCCAACCATTTTCACACCTCAATGTCAGATTGGTCACAAATGAATCACATGATACATTATGGACGCATGCGCAGTAAAATCATCTTTGAAAGCCTAAATCACTACACAAATGACCACAGTGGGCTAACGCCATGCTATTAATGGACCAGAATAAAACTCCCTGATGGAACTCAGCCTTAACAATTTTATTGTGGACAATAATCATGAAAAAAAACAGGAATCCTAACATATTATGTGATGGGAATGGTTTGAAAGATTTTGGCAATTCTGTTTTAGTGTGCTATTTTCAATTTCAAGGGATTAGAATTACATTTTATTATTGAACTGTTTTAAATAAAAGGTTCTAAAATAGCTTATTGTTCCATTTGAGATCAATATAAAGTTCTGGCTAAATAGAAAAAATAATTCATTTCATCATACTAAAAAATATGTACAAAAACCTGTTAAGTTTTATAGTTATTTTATATCAAAGTTGTGATTTTTTATCTCAACTACCTACCTACTTATTTCTTTTAGTGCTTATAATAATTAGAAGATGCCACATTTTTAATAGCATAGGTATTATTTGCAAAAAAATATTCATACTCTGTTTCATTATGAAATATACATAACTATTTGCTCTTGTTTTGTATAATTCATATGTATATATTGTTATAACATGATAGATTTAAAATTAGGTACTATGTACTTATTTATGACATGAAACATTAAAATATTTGTATTAATACTTATTTGTTTCTATTCACCTCCATGCTCCTTGAAATTCTAGATTGAAACTTTATTAAACTCAATAAACTAAATGATTAATAATATGTCAGTCTCATGACATGGATAATTTTTTGTTCTATCTGGGAATAACTTATTTTACCAAAAGGAATAGAAGGATGTATCCAAGGTTCAATGTTCAATTTAACAACTGATAACAATATAAAAAAAATGTATTTCCATAGAATCACAATTCTTCTAGTTACAAATATACATAATTATATTGAAGCATATAAAAAATGAACATAATGATGCTACTCTTCTACACCTTTGGCAAAATATCATCTTCAATTTTCTTCTGAGTATCCACAAATCGCATTTTATATTCTCTCTCTTCTTGATCTTGTTTGTTGAATTTTCTATGTATAATAGCTAATTGATTGCAGAAGACATTTACTCTTTCTAAGTAATTATCAAAGCTCAAGAACCTCAACTGTTCTGCAGATAAAACACTTTCATCATACACCTTATTCTTGAATTCGAATGTTGCTATTTTAACGGACTTCTTTACTTCCAATGCTTTTGTGAGCTGCAACTTCCACTCACTCATTTCAGATTTCACTTTCTCTAGATATTCTACAGGATATGAAATTCCATTTTCTCGGTCAGGAAATTTGTGGGTCGTATTTTCGGCATCACTAGTCTCGAAGTCGAATAAAGATCGTCGTCTTTTAGGTTCTGGTTCACCTGATTGCGACATTTTTTAGAAATTTTCGTTAATTTTCAAATGAAAAGTGAGGTTATTGGATATTCTGTGTAATCATTTATTTTCTCTTGCTCTTAGATCATCTTGCCAGTTATATAAGTAGAAAAATAGGAAGATAGATATTGTTAGGTTATGGTTTAGGTTAGGTTAGGAACAGGAACTAACTTAAACTTAGGAAGATTTGAAAACCAAACCCAATCTCAGCTCAAATCTCAAAATGAAAATTTTAGGTTTGCTGAAATTCTCCAAGACCTGGAACTATTTCAATACATTCAGCAAATACAGCCCCACAAATACACTTTTTGTCAAAAGGAATTATTGCAATACAGCTCTAAATGTGAACACCAATGTAATTAAGGACGTTATTTTATTCAAGTATGATAGTCCCAAATTCTTTAGATACCTGAATATTTTTGCAATCTGTCAATTCGGGTTTTGGTCATACCTATCATTGCTATCATTCCAAACTTTGAGGGATGCCCCAGTTGATCCAACAAAAGCAACACATTGGTGGGAAAAGATAAATCTCGGTGAGAACAAATACAGGAATGGTATCACTATAATTTCTTTTCTTGTTGGTAAGTATAAGACCTGCCATGCATCAATTTTTTGGCTGAATTCAGTGATCAATTTTAGGTTTTGGCATACTTTCAATTTCATGGATGTATTCCCTGAGATCAGTAAAATATCTCATTTTACGTAAAGGAGGACAACAAGTTACAATAGTCACATACACACCTACAGCTACAAATCGAATGTTCACTGTAGATCTAGGAAACCTGAGTTGTAAAGATTCAAGAAAGGTATCACAGTCTCATCTTGCTATCAAGGTAAAAGGACATTATTTGCATTACCTTCTTGACATGAAAGGTGAATTTAGGAATCCTAAATTATTTGACCACACTGCTGGAATTTACAGAAAATGGAAAACATAATAAGCAGGTACTATATTATAGGAAAACTTTCATCAGGTTTTGGGCTAATTAGATATTCAAACCATAAGATGTCAAATGTGCTGGTAAAAATAAACAGTTCAATGAGTACAATTTAATGTGTCCAATTTGTGTAGGACCAAACACATGATTTTGAAAACAATAGTTTTTTGAAGAAATGTTTTTTGTTTTTATTTTCTACCAAAATTTGAATCATTTATTCTGAGCCTCTGTGACCATCTTCTTTCCATAGTTGAGCATTCTTGTTTGATTTTTTTGTGAAGTAAACTATCTTGCAATGTTTTATTGAATGTACCTGAACTACATTTTTTTCTTATCTGGATTTCAATGTCTTCTGAAAGACTTTTTAAAAAAATTTAGTACTTTTCAATTATAAATTAGTGAATAAACTTACGATTGGAATGTTGCTTTCTTATTTTTGACATACACTACTACTGGTACTATTCTGAGAGTTTCTATGGTATCTATATCTTCAGGTGCTGTGTTTTTGTAGACTACCTGTACCTTTTTATCCCCCCCAGCTCCTCTGAAAACAAAATATGGTGATTTAAATTGTCAAATTTATAATTAGAATCAAATTAATACATTTTCTTTCTGGAAGATTTCAAGGATATTTTTGGGATACTCATGCCAGTCTCCACAACAGATTTGCTCTTTTTGATTCTTCTATTAGATTCAAGAATACTGACTGAAATTGGAGGTAGAGATCTTATTCTTCTGGACCATCTCTGTGGTGTATTGGATCTTTCTTTCTTTATTCTTCTTTTGAGAGAATGATTTCTTGATCTCACTGAATGTAATACTTTTGATTTAATACCCAATTTCCCCTTCATGTTGGATTTGAAAAATTATATACACAATATGTCAAACTTGCATTTACTGACTTGATTTGTTCAACTGATTATTCATTTTTTTTTTATTTCAGTTTAAATTACATCCACAGGATGTCAATATTTTGTGTACAAACCTCTTTCAATCGACGAATCATGATTTACGTTTTATGTACAATCAATATTATGATTTGAAGTTGAAGGGAATCGAATCTATATTGTTTTATAATCAGCATATTTCATTGGATATTTCAAAAAGGCAAATATGATGGTGGAGCCGTGACGTATCAGCCCCGAACTGTAGCTATTGGTCAGTTCAAGGGCAATAGGCGTGTTGGAACTAAGACGTCGCATTAGTCACACCAATGAATTGACAAACATTCAAATGGCGCAGGAATTGTGTGTTTTGAAATGAACATATTCTAATTTATTTTTTTCATGGTCTTAGCATGAATGAAAAAATTCAAAATTAATTCACTTGTAGTTTTTCAGAATAGAGCTCACGATAATGTCGTTTTAAAAAAATCAGTGGTCTTCCCCCTTTTCACGCACCTGTTATTAACGCATTAATTGCGGGAACCCGGCGTTCCCGTCTACGTATATTGATATGTCTAGATGCAAGTAAACATGTCTCAACAGGATTTAACGATTGTGGATGCGGTTTTCATTTTATTCAATATTTCAGTATCGAAGTAGTAGCTGCATCCTGCATCAGTTGATTGATTTTTATTTGTTTCAAGTGAATTCAAACCACGATGGCTCGAAAATATCTCAATGACGATCAAATTGAAGAGTTGTTGTAAGCTAAAAGAAACTTAATTCTGCTTTGCGCCTTGTGATGGTCCACTGTGTATCATAAAATGTTTTGAAAGGTATCACACTGTCAAAAAATATTAAATTCCATTTCATATATGGGAATATTTTCAATTCATTATAGATATAAGGAATCGCATTAAAACATTCCATTTCGAATGAAAACTATTGAAATAGAACTTATTTTGGGTTGTAATATGTAAAAAAATCGCATTCACAAGTTATCATGTGATTGCGGGAGAAGGGTGTACATGTCCGTACCTGACTTGCGTATACCGGGAGACGTTAAATAAAAAAACGGAAAAATAAAAAATATATATTTCAGTCAACATTCAACATATAATACCTACTCATTGACTAGGACTATTTCCACAGATTATGATGGTTGAACATGAATTAGCTGAAATGATATTCAGCAAGCTCTTTAAAAATGTTTAACAATACCACTGTTAGCCCAGTCAATTTCTCATGAATGAATGCATTTTATTTATGAAAATTAAAGCAATTTACTTTTTGGATTTCAAACATGCATGCACTTTCATTAGAAATAAAATTTTCTGGGAAATGCATGATAAAAATGTTCTACCTGTATAATCCATAATAAAATATAAAATACCAATGCATCAAGTCAACATAATGGGTTATTTAAAATAATTATAAATTAAAAGTATTTTCAATATCTATATACATATCTTTTCTTAACTCTTAGAGTGCACACAAGGAAATGCCTATAATATTCGTGGAACACGCGATGTTCCAACTGCTCTTTGGCAAAAATTGAAAATGTAATTATTTTTTGGATATCCTATATTAATTCTCTTTTGATAAAATTGTGTTCAACAAATTTGTCAAACTTCTTTGTACCCCATCCTGGCAATGTGTTGAGATCAGATATTCTTCCAAATGTTCCTCTGATACTCCTAAAATTGAATAAATATATTTTTATGAATTCATATAAAATTGTATTGAATTCAATCAACTACCTGAACAAAACAATCTGTTGAGCAGTTTTAGATCCGATTGTATTCAATGTTTCTAATTTCCTAACATTCCCACTATTGAGAATGGTTAACACTTCTCTGGTATGTGCTGTGCATGGACTATCTGATCTGAAATATGTATACAAAGTGTCTGTTTTATTTCAATTTTATTCTACATGATCATCAACTGAGCTTCTTTGTCCAACCAGCATGTCCAAATATTTCTTATTCTCCATAACAAAATATCATGTGAATGTTGGAGACTTGGCAACATTGTGCTGAATGCTGAGAACTGACAAGACCACGCCCACAGGTCGGGCGCGGGGTTGTCACGTTCACCGATTCAAATGTCCTTTAGTGTGAATTAATATAATTATCATTTAATTGAATGTATTATGGTGACGTCAGATTTTATGCTGTTTCATTATTGGTCAGATAATCTTCCATTTCCACTCATGAAGCAAGGTTATCAAGTCACCAATTATAATTGAGTCCTGTTGTTGAATAAATCTTAATATAGGAGGAACTCAGGACATTATAGTGCATTCATGACTTTTTGGAGCAACCAGCATGTCCAAATGTTTCTTATTCTCCATAACAAGATATCATGTGAATGTTGGAGACTTGGCAACATTGTGCTGAATGCTGAGAACTGACAAGACCACGCCCACAGGTCGGACGCAGGGTTGTCACGTTCACCGATTCAAATGTCCGTCAGTGTGAATTAATATAATTATTATTTAATTGAATGTATTGTATGCAATAAGCCACAAATCATAAGGGAACATTTTGAGACAATTGAATTTGTATTGCTAATTAGCAATATTACCAATACTCAATTGAGAATTCATGAATTATTGAATAACTAATATTTCTGAAGTTCCCAATCATATTTCAACATATGGCAACTGTGCTATGGTCTGCCCCTACTTACAAAATCATGACGTCAGTTTTTACTGGCGGTAAATTTCTAGCAGTTTGAAAATTACCGTGGCATTATTGATGATTTTAGCACCTAAAAATCGACCGAAAAATTCTTAAAAAATATGAAATTGAAAGGTATTTGAGTGATGATTCTATTTAAGAAATAAAAAATGTTGTCCATTTGCAGTAGCATTGTTAAATTAACAATCTAGCGAAACTGATCAGAGAAGTAGGTGCAGTAACTGGGGATATGAAACAGCCTAACATTCCTATATCTCCAGTTAGTAGGGCTGGATAGGGAATGATTTTCACAACTTTTTTATTGTGAAACCTCACCTAGTTTTCTGCATTAACCTCTTTCCAGCTGGAGTATCTGCTACTGTCAACATTTTTTTGGTTGGTTCCTTCAAATTCTCCACCAGATTCGTTTTTCTCACATTACTATTGATGTTACTCTTTTGTAGTTTTGTTCTATCCTTCAATCTCACGCTCCTTCTTCTGGAATGCTCAAAATGTTTTAAGGAATCATCATTTTTCAATGTGCTCTCCAGCAATGCCAAACCACGGATGATTGGGCTACTTGAAGAATCCCAATAGAAATCATCAGATTTCTTCTTAGGCCTCTGCCTGTTCATTGAAAGTCTCACACTGCGCCTGGGTGTTTTTTTATTGATAATTTCTATTGGAGAGATTGAGGGAGTCCGTTTGGACTTTGGTATTTTTTTCTTCTTCAAAGGTAAGTCAGGGACTTTGAATGCAATGTTTTCATCTTGCAAATTAGACTGCAATTGTTCTGGAGAATCATCTCCTATTTTCTCAGTTAACAGGGAATTGACTTCCTCAGTGAATGGACTGCCATAACTCTGAAAACATGACAGTCATTTTGTATGTGAGTAGGAAATAAAATGATAGTCAAGTATTTACCAATACTTTTCTTATTTTGCTCAGGTGTTCTTCTATTGGACTACTTGTGGCTCTTGTGCCTTTGGTAGTCAATTGTGCCAGTTCAGTGCGAACCAATTTGGATACTTCATTTTGTATTTTATTCCATGGCACACTGAAAATAAGTATCTCTGTGTTGAAATTTTTCTTACATCATTTACATAATAGGAGGACTCTCAGTATAATTTTCAGTTTGATGGTGGGCTGACTAGTGATTGTATATTTAGGTTGAACCATAGATTGAACTAAGACTGTGATTCCTGGTATGAAGGATGGAAAGATGAGACCATAACTTGATATTTATTGAAATTTCATTGGTAGTATTGTGAGTGTAGATATAGCCTGAGTGGGAAGTGTAAATGTGACAGGTGTGCTTTGAATGTTAATGTTTTCCTACTTTTTATACTTTTTTGTCTAACAAACATTATTTCAAATGATTGTTGTGGTAGTCAATAAAAAAGAACCATTTCCTGATAGAAATAGATCTTGATGCAAAATTAGTCAATTTCTGGTCAATCAGACTGAAAGCTTATAAAATTGAAGAAAACAATCCTGTACATATTATTTTGAGTGGCATGGCTATGTCCTCTGGAGCTGTTTTTTTTTTTAACCTCTGAATGTAATGGTAGAGAATGGAATGATCGATTGAAGAATTAAAATATAATATGGTGAAGCAATATTATTAGAATAATATAATGAATTTGGTATCAAATCAATATATCAAAAACTTGATAATACTATTTTATATTGTTCATTTATCCAAACTAACATGAGTGGGAAGTGTAAATATGACAGGTGTGCTTTGAATGTAAATGTTTTCCTACTTTTTATACATGTATTTTGTCTAACTTTTGAGAGCCTTGAGAAGGGCATATAACAAAAATATAGTGACAATACTCAACAAACATTATTTCAAATGATTGTTATGGTAGTCAATAAAAAAGAACCATTTCCTGATAGTTTTGATTTCTGAATAATTCCCACTAGAAAAAAATAATGATGCAAAATTAGTCAATTTCTGGTCAATCAGACTGAAAGCTTTCAAAATTGAAGAAAACAATCATATTTATTGTTTCTGTACATATTATTTTGAGTGGCTTTTTTTGTAAAACCTCTTAATGAAATTGTAGAGAATGAAAAATAGATGCATAGTGTGAGGTGATTGTAGAAAAATTCAAATATAATATGGTGAAGCAATGTTATCAGAATAATATAATGAATTTGGTATCAAATCAATGTATGGAAAACTTGTTAATACAATTTTATATTGTTCATTCATCCAAACTAACATGAGTGGGAAGTGTAAATATGACAGGTGTGCTTTGAATGTTAATGTTTTCCTACTTTTTATACTTGTATTTTGTCTAACTTTTGAGTTCTGAAAAGGGCATATAACAAAAATATAGTGAAACAATACTCAACAAACATTATTTCAAATGATTGTTGTAGTATTCAACAAAAAGGAACCATTTTTAGTTTTGATTTTTGCCCAGTAATGATTTTTGAAAAATTCCTGCTAGAAAAAAATCTCGATGAATTGAATTTGGTATCAAATCAATGTATGGAAAACTTGTTAATACTATTGACAAGTGTGCTTTCAATATTAATGTTTTCCTACTTTTTATACTCCTATCTTGTCCAACTTTTGAGTCTTGAAAAGGGCATATAACAAAAATATAGTGAAACAATACTCAAAAACATTATTTCAAATGATTGTTGTAGTATTATTCAACAAAGAGGAACAGGGGAGGAGATGCAAAGTATGAGGTGATTGTAGAAAAATTCATATATAATATGGTGAAGCAATATTATTAGAATAATATACTGAATTTGGTATCAAATCAATATATCATATCATTTATCCACACTGTTTAATAGTGAGTTCAAACAAGCAATAAAAAATCATAATACCTCCCTACATAATTATATCAATCAAGTCAGTAGTTGAAAATCATTTATTTCAATGAAATTTTGTCAAATTATTAAAACATAGCAACAGTTCATTCAATTGACAAAAAAAAACAAATCACTAGTACAAAAATCTTACTTACCAAGGTGTATTCTCAACATCCTCTAGGTGTCTTCTAGAATTTTCAATCCTACTGGGCCTTTTCAGTGTACTTTTAATAATCAATTCTAACTTGCCCATCAATGAAGACTCCATAGCACTCAAATACTTCTTGATAACTGGACTCAAATTTTGTTGAGTAGTATCATTAGACACTGAACTCACAACATTTGAAATTGAAGATACATGACTTGAAGATAATGAACAATGAGTACTACTATGACTTTGACTTGGCAAGAGAACACTGAAAAAAAATCATTATTGTATGATAGGTACGTAGTTTGAGAATTTTTAGTAAACTTACTTATTATCTGTGGATGGCTCATCAATTGTTGTCAGAGGCAACATCCTTGGCCTTTTGGCAGTCCTAGGGGTAGGCACAGGTGCTGGTCTCTTGAAGGGGGTCCCACTAGTCCTTGGCTGTGAGAACAGAGCAGGATTTTCCCTTCTATACTGAGAGATCACTTCATTCACCTCAGGCTTGTTCTTCATCTTCTTGACTCTTTGAGCAAACTCCAGAGTCTGTGAGGTTTCTGTGGAGTCTTCTGCCAAAGAACTCACACAAGCTATGAGAGACACATAGTTGTGTGTGTTCAATGAGTCTTTCAGAATGGATGTGATGATGGATTGGCGGTAGGGAATGTGAGATGCATTTGTTGACAGAGCAGTCATCACTTGGCCAATAGACAGCAGGCCCCTGTTTATGTTGACACCTTCCTGGAAGGTGCTGCCCTGGTTGCCTGTTTTCTTTATGCTCTCAGATCCAGCCAAGTCTACCAAGTTGAGCTTGGCAGAAGTAGTATTATTATCCCTGAAAATTACTTTGATAGCAACTAGTTTGTGCATGGATTATGGAACACTTACTTATGCTTGACATTACAATAAATGGTGAAGATGGCATGGGATCTTGAGCTTTTGGCATTCTGCTTGGTTTCAGCAGTGTGTCTATTTTTATTTCCTATCTTCAAGAAATGTTTTGCCTCCTGAGAATTATACACTCTCTCCTGGCAAAAGCCCTGTGCTTTCAAACCTACACAATAAACAACAAACATGGAACAACTTTCTATCTATATCTTATGTAAGAAAGCTTACCCTTGACCTGCAATGGTTTGTCCTCAGGTTTGTCATTCAATAAGAGATCAAACACTTTTTCATTATAAATTTCAATGAATGATAAGGATATTTCCACTTCAGAGTCATCATCATCTCTGTATTCAAAGAACTCATTCAATGTTCTTGGGATTAACCCAAAGTCCTCCTCATTTTTTACCTAAAATGATTTTCATTGTGGTGTAAATATGGGTTAAAAACAAAATTGATAATGTGTATCTTACATATGGGTCAGTGCCAATGGTATAGGTCTTCCCTGTGCCTGTTTGACCATTTGCAAATACTGTGCAATTGTACCCCTGCCTAACATATTTCACAAAAGGTTTCACCATTTGCTCAAAGATGGTTTTTTGGGTGGCTCCTTCACTATATACATGATCAAAATTGAAAGTAAGCGGCCTTTCAGGGAGAAATAGAACCTGGAAGTTTAGGTTTTCATGATGGGGAAACTCAACTCAAAGAATCTACTTACTGGTGGGTTTTGGCTTATGATCTGTAAACACTTCGAGGCATTTTCACTATCAGTAAGTGGTTTAATCCTTACTGCAACGTTCACAAATTCTAGTGGTTCCCTGTCCATTATTAATTGAAATAAAGTTGTTATTTGGTTTTTGGTTGCTAGAGTTTAGGACAAGATATCAAGATAAAGAAGTTGTGCAACCACTACCAAACAAAGTAATTTAAAAAAATATACGTTCTTCTTCTTATTTCCTTCGAATTTTGTTGGGCTGTGATCGTGGCTGTGGCATTGCTTTGCTTTAGCCAGCTGGCCATCTACTGTGTTATGGTGGTTATGTGCTGTGATGAATAATAGCACAATGCCAATGAAAATCCTGCAAAATTTTCAAGTTTCAACCGGTTATCGGTTGGAGCGTTCTCAAGGAGTAGTTCGAGTTGAAGCTATTTTAATAGTATAATTTTCTTCAGAATGAAAAATTTTAATGAACATAGATCGAGTTTTTCATAAATCATATCATTTGTTTTTGGTGTAAGCAAGAAGAGTCAAGGTGAGCATTTTTATGAGTATAGTATATCTAGGTACCATATTCATATTTTCTTAAAATGTCAAAAGGTTTTCCCCTTGTTTTTCCAACTATAGAGGTAGTCACCTTTTTCAAATGTGAAAGTATAATCTGTATAATATAATAATCTGCTGCCCGCCAATTCTAGTAGTATTTCAGAATATTCCGTTCTTCTACAAATCTTGGTGATAGATTTTTCACTTTAGTGTTGTTACCATGTTGTTACACCATGACCTACCCATATAAGATCGTGCATATAAGTAGGTGACATCATGTATTTCAATTAATTCTAATAGATCCCTCTGTATTATGTACATATTTTACTATATATATTGATTCATATACTGACTAACTGGGTATAGGAATCTGCATTCAAGATATGTTTTGCGTTTTCCTTTTGCTCCTACTTTTGTTGCTATAAAAATATATAACCTTTTCTGGAACTGATATCTATTAATCTATTAGACATCTGCTTTCATTCATGAAACAATAATAAGTAACTTAACATTTTTGTGCAAAAATCAGGGGATCATAAACTTATCAAGTCACTAAAATGCAATTTCCAATGAACTATATAAATATCAATATGATAAAAGATCAGAATGACCATAACTAAGGTAAAGTATATTATAACTTGAATAATAAAAGACACTGAGGACAAAGATTTGAATTAATGGAGTAGGTAATATGTGCACAGGTCACACAGGTGTATATATAGCCTCTAAATATGACTTTTAATATGCATTTTTAGATCTGGACAATGTTTTGGTAAATAATCACACTTATGACACTTCAAAGGGGTATTCATCAATTGCACACAGGTTTCTTTAGAAGGCAGGGTAACTTCACCGTTTTCCTTCAAGCTTTTCCATACATCTAAAAAAAAATTGGATGGATTTATTTTAAAATTTATAAAGTGGTTAGTAAAGGTTCAGTAAAATAAAGGTGGTAACTACCTGTTGAGCTGAGAAAAAAATTGGTAGTGAAACTGTTCCAATGTTTCTTAGTTTTCACACAAGGGGAATTCATGTCATCACTTATAATATGTAAATGTAATCTTGCCATGCTAGCTTCAGCATGATATCCTAACTTGAAATTACGATGTTTGTGTTTTTCGTCACCAATAAGTTTCTTAGCTACTTCCTCCATGTGTTTCAAGATAGGTACATGCTCTTTCTTCAATGCTTTCAAGCTGCTAATGTCTTCTTTAGGCAAAACTAAGTAGTGGAATTCTGCTTTAGGATATGCATCTTTTATAACTGTAACTAAATCATCGGATTTCACAATCAATTCGGGGTCATTTATTGATTTCAACAGTCCTAAAGACCAGTGAGCCTTCTTATTGTCTGTAGATTCAGATTCAGGTTTTTCATTATCTGCATCAATTTTCCTTTTGGGCATTTTACAAACCAAACTTTTTATTCTTCTGTAGTTAACTCGGCTCGGAATCCCAGGAAATGTAGCTATATCTACTATCCAGCAACCAGTGGCACTAATAAAGTAGTTGGACTAGTTATGTCTATGTCGGTGATCCAAATTCCAAACATACCTATCATATAAACATAACCTCGAACATCACCAACAGCCAACAGGTGTCCTTTTTAATCATAGACGTGCACATGGTGGAAATACTAATTCCACCATGGACGTGCACAGAACCAAGCACAGAACTTCATTTGGTTTTGTGCCAAGCAGTGTTGCCGTTGACTAATATTGCCAGACTTTTGACGGTTAATTGTACTAGAACTTCATGAATGCCGGTAAGTGAAATTCAGAAACTTCTTTAATATATTGGCACAGCTTACCCATTTTCTATATATACCTATCAGCTTTGAATTCTAGCGGGCATTGTGTGTGATATCCTTTCTTGTTGCATGCCTTAGTAGGGGTAGTAGGCAAGAAGGCAAGTTACTAAAACTTTCCTTTCTTATCTTCTGTCCAAGAATGAAGAACAAATCAGGTTACTTATACAGGGTGATTCATTGAGAATAGCAATCTGTGAACAACAGATAGTAAACACCAAAATATGAAGATTGAGCCTAACATGCCCAATAAGAATGTTGCTGGTTTAGGAGATACAAGATGTGCAAAGGGGAGGTTTTATTCTAAAATTTCCCAATAACTTCGTAAGTTTCAACAGTATGAACATGAAATTTTATAGTTTTAGGTTTTTCTGACATGAGAAATACGAATTTGTTATTTATTTTGTGAGTAGTGGCACCCTGTTTCACATAACATTTTTATCATCTTAAATTATGAAGTCGCCGAAGTGACAGTGAAAAAATAGATAGTAATCAATAATGACAATCACTAACAACCTCAACACAAACTGAATTTAAAAGTAAATGTTCAACCAAAGTTATGGGAACATTTTAAAATAAAATAAAGTTTTTCCCCAGAACGCACTGTATCTGCAACATATTATAAGGCATGTTGGGCTCAATCTTCATATTTTGGTGTCAACTATTTTCAAGAGAATAATAATGAATCACCCTATATATAGTATTCACCGAAATTTTAATGGTATCATCACCAATCACAGGAAATGTACAGTGAGATTCAATGAACATGTTCCACATGGATGATGAAGTCACTTTCCATCCAACCGCAACATATGCGTTCTATGTCTGACTGCAAGCATTTTATCCGTGCCCAGAAGTGTTCCCGTTGACCTATTTTACCAATAACTACTGAATATCCTGACTAAATTTTACTAGCATTTGATGGTAATAAGTACTAAGTAGATTGTACTAGAACTCCTTGAATGCCGGTAAGTATTCTGATGTATTTGATAATCATTATAATATCTTTTTTTACAAGCATAACTCTTGTCTATTTTCTTTGATGAAAAATGTATTTACTTTTGAGTTTGAATATTTCCAATATGTGATATGAAATAATACAATTCAGATGGAAGAAGTCCTCATCATTTCTAAGTATCAAATTTGTTTCTATACGATTGAATTTATATTTTTTATACTTGTTCTAGAATTTCTCATACTTACCTAGTGAAGGCACTTGAATAATAATACATTTTGTATAAAACTGAATATAATTTATGAATCAACTATGTGTACATGTTTGAACAATACACATGAATCTTACACTTCAGCTTATAAACAAAATGTACAAATTAAATAACATGAGTTTTGTGCTTTCCATATGGTACAGTGGTATAAAGTAAACAGGTTTGTAGATCGTTTGATAGAAAATGGTCAAGTTGTTCATAGTTCATATTTTATTATATATCTTGTATTATGTAACATGAAACAACAAATGGCTTGTGCTTTAATACTTGCAGTAAAAAATATACACAAAACGTACATCAATAAAAAAACATCAAGATATAAAAAAATAAAATATTACTATACAATATATAAAATTCTTTAAGTATTTCATACTGCACTATTTAATAGTCCACAGGACAGGACCTCTTTTCAACAATGATTGTTATTCTTCTATACCTCCGTGTGTTGCTTCATTTTGATGGGTTTCATGTTTTCCTCCTATTTTAAAGGGACCGCAAGTTTCAATTATAAGATATTTGAAAATTAAATGCTAAGAAATATCGTCTACAAAAATTGTCAAAATGACGACTTAATGATTTACTACCTACCAATTCTTTCAGAATTAATTGTTATTCAATTACATCACAATTGAATTTGAGAATAGTGATGGTCATTCAATATTCCATATTCCGGATGCACTATAAAAAAAGACTTGTTCAGGAGAATTTTCGCAAATAAAAATATTGTACACACACGGAGTTACAGAGGAGTGGTAATCATTTTTAAGAAGGGGGTCTTGTCTTGTGGACAATAAGAATAAATCTGTACAATAAAATTGAAATGGCTCTGAAATCAACAACTTATAAAATTGCACTCAAGCCATTTGTTCTGTTATAATAATTCAAGAAATTCTATATAACGAGTCTAGCTATCAAAATTGTCAACACGAGTTAATCATTTTAAATGAAATATATAAATTAGTACTATTCTGTATATTCACAATTACCATAATAACTTACAATATATACAAAAATATGATTACACGTCTGTGGCTGTAATTGACTTTGTACACTGAAATTAACGACGTACACGATGTGCTCGCTTATCCTACCACATTCACTAGACACCTCTTAACAATATTGGATCTCGACAAGTGAACACAGCTAGCCCTAGCCTGTACAAGTCTGCCTCACTGGTCGCCTGCGAAAAAAATTACAGTATATTACAAGTCCAAATGATTTATGGTACACAATAATTATCATCTAACTTCGCAGTCTTTGTTCGCACTTAAAGGGGCGGGCGGAGGCAAAGACGCTTCGGGAGGCGGCTGCCCGGGCTGTACGCTACGCACCTCCGCTTCCTTCTCCGAACTGTCCGTCGCCGGTTTCATCATGTACCCGGACCCCTCCTGGCAACGGGACAGTTTCAATTTGATCGGCGTCACTTTCAAAGGCAACTTATCGTCCGCCACGTCGCGAGTCGCGTCCATTTCGTTCGCTTCACCGCTCGTCCGTTCACTATCACTCTTCTTCCCTATCCTGATGGTCATCTTGATCTGGTTCTCGCTCTGATTCGGTATTATCTGTATCTCCGATTTGAGCTTCTTCTTTTTCTTTTTCTCGCTCTTGTCCCGCTTCTTCTGCTTTTTGATCTTCAGATCCTTCATCATCATCTTCCTGAACTTCATGCTCTCTCTCTTCAAGTCCTCCACCGAGGGTTTGTTGAGAGAGGCGAGCCGTTTCTTGGGCGGCCTTATCCTGTCCCGCTTCTCGTCTACCCTGGTCGCTCCCACGATGCTATTGGTGCCCGCACCGATTTTGATGGTCAGTTTCGGGGCCAGCGGCTGCGCGGCGGGCCTGGGCGGCCTTCCGCGTCTCTTGTTCGATTCAGAGCCGCCCAAAGCCGAGTTATTGCTGCCCAACGAGCTCCTTCTCGAGTGCCCGTCGTAGTCCGTCGGTAAGTCCAGCTGCCTCAGCTCCCTGGACAGAGCCTGCCTGGCTTTGGATTCTTTGCGGTGGTGTTTGCTCTCGGCGAAATCGTCGGTGTCGGTCCTGTAGTCCCGGTAGTCCTCTTTGGTGGGTATGCTGGTCATCGAAGCCACCGCTTTCGGTATGGTTATGATGGTGCTCCGGATCGTATGCGGTGCGGCGGGAGCGATGTAAGCGGCATTGCCAGCCGGCTCGTCCATGTTCATGTCCTGCGTCCAGTATTGCCTCAGGAGCTCCTTCTTTCTCATTCTCCTCAGGCTGGACGGACCGCCCGAAGATATTCCACCGGAGGCGATATTGATAGCGTTGTTCATCACGGAGCTCACGTTGGTGACGATGATGGGATCGACTGTAGGGGGAGGTAAGGGGGTTACAGTGGAGGTGTAGTTCGCGATCGGGCCTTTGATCTTCACTTTGAGCTGGTTGCGGGAATCCGAGAGGGACACTTTGATGTTGCTGGCCGTTTCGCGGGAAACGGTTTCCACCGGTTTCTTGACGCTCAGCACGGTTTGCAGTTCTTTTTCGAAGTCCTCGTCGATCTCCTGGACTTGGGTTTCTGTCGTGCCGCTGGCGAACGCGCTCAGCAAGTTTTGTTCGTTGTAAGTCTGCTGATCGAAGTTGCTGTTGTAAGTTCGCATGTCGACGGGGCCAGGTAGAGGTGGGGTGACGTCGGGAAATACTTGAGGAGTGTCGTTATCCGAACTGGCCAGAGAAATGTCGGTTTTCGACCGACTATCTTCGATAGGCGTCGGGGGCCTCAGTTCTCTCAGGTCCGTGCTGTAATTTCTGGTTTTGTGTGATGTCTGAGACGGACTGGAGAACTTCGGCGATCTGGAAGAGCTTCTAGTGGAGCCGAAGGGCTCGAATTTCTTCTCGTGGATGTCTACGGACTTTCTCCTCTCTCGCATCGACTTCAAATCGGCCATGTTGTCGTTGCAGATGTCGTCTTCAAAGTCCAGATCGTAGACGGTGCCTGCCAATTTGTTGTGGATCGTTCCGATGCCGACGAGGTCGTAGTCGTTGTGATGGCTGCCTCCTCTGCCTCTGCCTCTTCCCCTTCCTCTGCCTCTGAGATTGGCAGCACCTCTAGCGAAGCCGGACTTGTTAGAGCCTCGCTTGTTATCTCCTTTACCCCGGCCGGGACCGCTTTGTTTGAGAGCGGTTTCTTGTCTGGGACTCTTGCCTAGAATTAAATGATGGATACGTATTGAAGGTATGCATTCAGAAATTAGCAGGTTTTATGTACACCGATTGCTATTTGTCAATGTAAAATGTCACTCGAGTGTGATTATTAAAGAGAGCTTCTGACCGGTACAAAACAAATAATCTCGCAAATAATGAACCACGGAAATTGTAGTTAGATATTTAATCAATTATGAAATAGTAGTTATTTATTATACCAAGGAAAATAGAACTATATTAGATGAAATCGAATATTTTTTTCCTTTATAACACCCTATTTTTGCTCATTGAGACCGACTCATCATTTGGTTAATTTGATGTGAATCATCAACTACTGATGGGTAACGGAAGTCGGGTGAATAAAAACGACAGTATATTGTTTATATCAGTTGATATAAATTCATATAAGAAGGGTTGATTCAATTCAGGCGTTCAGTTTCTAATAGTTTATACAGGGCGTTTGCTTCACCGAGGTATTTTTTTTATCGTTCAAAGCGCACGAAATGTGAGAACATTTCATCCCAAAATCCCACATTTTTGCCCGATAGCCTTAAAGGCTGTGGCCTGTTTTATCGAAAATCATATTTGAACAAACAGAAAACCTAACGTTATAGAAAGACTTGAGCAGTCTTATGTTTTCTACTCTCAATGTGTATCTTTACGAACAATTCTTACATTGACGGAGATGATATCATAGAAATATGCCAAATGACGTACAGTGGTGCGATGCAGTGGACAATAAATAATGTTAGCCTTCATTCCAAGATGCTTCTTTTCTTTTTATATAAATGGCATTGATATAGATTTTTGTTTTTCATTGCATTGGTTTATCAATCCGCATTCTCTTATTATTTCAGAGCTCTCCATAGTGTTGGAGCTTCAATTCCCAATAAATATTTGACATTAGGACAGTAATCTTCATCATATATCCATATTGTGTAATCTTACCTGGACTTTTAGCCGGCGACTTGTTCATCATCTGAGAAGTCACTCTCGCGGATGTCCTTGTCGGTTTGCTCGGCGACTTCTTCCCGGCCGAACTGTTCGACTTCAACGACGTACTAGGCGACGGCAGAGCGCTGTTCGCGTTCGGGGTAGTATTGCTCAATGCAGGAGACGGCTCCTGTTTCTCCGATTGCACTGTGGGCGTCAACGAGGCTTGACTGCAAGCCGGTATCTCCGCCGGAGGCACCAAAAGATTATCCGGAGGCCCCAACATATTATCCGAAGGCTGCTCGACCGGCTTCGACAGATTCACCATGGCCGCCGTCAGAGCCATGTTGTGCTCCGATGAGGTGAAGGCGGCGGTGCAACTGCCCGAAAACGCTGGTATCGTCTCCTCCATTGGCTTGGGCAAGGGAGGAATGGAATGAGGAGTGGGAAAGGGTGCGTCGAAAGCGGGAGGGAACATAGCTGCCGGACCTGACGGAGGAAAAGGTAGTTGAGTATTGAGATTGGGCGGCGGAAACAGGCTAACCGGGTAGCATGAACCGTCAGGAAAACCGCCAAAGTTATCAATGGAATTTGCCGGATAAGGCGCCCTTTGCGTAGGTAAATAGGAAGCGACGTCCAGCGAAGCGTGATTAACCATCCTGACGTCTTGTAATCTAGCTTCTTCTTCGTCTCGGCGGGAACCAGAACTAGTGGAAGACGCAGCCGAGCTGGAAGAAGACCTCCGATTGGGTATGACCTCACAATCCGCCCATTTGGCTTGCGGGTGGATGTTGGTGTAAGGCATCGGGCTATTCATGCAATCCATGGAGGTGGGATCTATGAGCGGCGTTTGCGAGATTCTTCTGTCGATTCTTTCTTGGAGCGAGGGCGATTGGCTTTTGAGAAGGCCGTCGTGCAACCGTACGTCCAGCTGGTGGGGTAGAATGTTCAGAGGTGGTTTTTTGTGGGGGTCTTGGGTGGCCGCGTTGACGTACGCTTCCAAGTAGAGGGCATGTTGGGCGGGATCGTTCAAGTAGTTTGGTGGCATGTTGGGGTAGTTTCCGCTAGGAGGTACCCATCGCTCGTCGCCCTCTAAAGGAGCGGTGTGATCTGTCAGGGTGTCTTGTTGAGGAATAGGCATGCTCTTTTGTGGTTCCAAAGGTAAGTTACTTTCGGCGTTTAAGTAAGGATAAGTGGGGTGCGGTGGCTCTTCAAGGTGTTTATCGGCATCTTCGAGCGGTTTCGGCTGCTCCAGAACTTCTGTCATTTGAACTTTGAGTTGAGGTTCGATGTGACCGAGATTTTGCGACTCGATGCTGACATCTTTGTTTGGAGGCTCAGATGAACTGACAGGTACAACTTGTTCCATGAAATCGATTTTCTCGCTTTCTATCTCACTGCTAGTCGTCGTGTCGCTAACTTCCCCGACGGTGGACTTCTTGGACAGTCCCATGCGTAGTTTCTCGACCAAGTTCAATGTTTCTCTAGCACTCTCCTCCTTGGTATCTTCCCTGATCATATTGGTGTTACTGAAATTCCACGTTAGAGGCCCTTTGGAGATGTCATCGTCCTTAGAGATTCCCATGTCGTCATCAAAATTGACCAGATCCAGAAAGTCTGTTGCTTCTTTCACGTGTGGTTGAGGAGAAAATATCGATCTATTTTGTAAAACTTGATTCGTCAATCCTGTTGGTTTCAGATGGTTTTTCTTATCAGTATCTAGTTCGTTTAGGAAATTTTTTGTTATGTCGGGTTGTGCGTGGAATACCTCTTGAACTTCAGGTTGACGATTATAGAAATCATTCGCTTTGTGAATCTGCAAGTGATCTTCCACAATCTTATCAGCTATCGTGATTTCGTCAATTGGTTTCGGTTGTTTAGGTGTTGGCGGTTTCTTGACATCAATCTTATTTTCTTTTGTATCACTGCTCAACAGTTTGTTTGCCAAAATATCATCGATGCTCTTACTTTTGGATTGTGGTTTTTTATTCGCAGGTTTCTTATCGTCCTTATTTTCAGTTTTCTTGTCAACATTCTCTTTTATATCCTTGTTCGGCGATTTGGGTACAACTTTAGGAGTTTCATCTAGTCTTGGAGGCTTTTCAGCAGGAACAACAACTTTTTCTGGGGTAGTATTTTCTTGTTTGGGCACGTTTTCGAATGACTTAATTGGTAGATCATTGGTTTCCACCAACTTCTCAACGTCAGGTTGAGCTTTTTCAACTGGCACTTTTTCTGGTATTATCAATTTTTCTGGTGCTATCAGTGGCTTATCAGACCTGGAGGGTTTTTCAAACAACTCCCTTCTCGACTTATCGACTTTGTGCGCCTTTTCAATCTCAGGTTTCTCATCTTGTTCGGGCTTTTCGGATTTTTCACTTTTGCTAGCCTTTTCCGCTTTGTCTTCCCTAGTTTTCTCTGGCGTACCGAAAAGTCGCTCGAAAGTGGAAGACGTCTTGCTTTTCCTTCCAGTCTCTTTGCCAGCTTTCCTCTCCAATATCTCCTTTTCTAGCTTGCCGATCTCCTGCTCCTGACTCACCTTGACCGTTTTCCTGGTCGGCGAGGAGGCCCGTTTGACGGGCTGAGCGGTCTTTTTGTTGACTTTTTCATCCACGCTGTTTCGTGGCGTCTGCTTTCCCTTCCTGCCTCTACCTCGGTCTCCGTCCACACCGAGACGTTGGCCATCAGACAGATCTCTAGACCCGACATCAGCATGTCCGAGCCTATCACCAGCGTCGGCGGATGTACGACCACGCCCTCTGGCGGGGGGGCGTGGTCTGCCTCGAGACTGCGCAGGGCTCGGTGGCCGTTGCTTCTTGTTGTTCCGTACCGGTTTCGGGGTTGCGGCTCGCGATGGAGAGTGTGCCTTAGGATGGGGTGACGAGGGGGATGGTTTTCTAGGTGAGGAGGGGGCGCTGGAATCGCTCGAGCTTGAGGAACCAGAGGTCGCCGCTGGCCTGGGTCCCTTGTCAAGAAAGGGCCAGTCCGTGGCGGCCGCGACAGTGGCACGTTTGGCCGTTTCTCGGCCGGGGCTCGAGAAAAGACTCTCCGATCGCGGCTTGACAGGCTCTTCTTCTTCTTCTTCGCTTTCGGAACTCGAGCTGCCCGAAGAATCCGAAGAACTGCTTGTCGAGGAAGACGAACTGCTGGTGGAATTTGTGGAAGACTTTCTTTTGCTATCTGGTGCTTTGACGACTTTGGGGGGCTCGGTTTCTTTTTTCGAGTCGACTTTTTTGACTTCGACGACTTCCTTCTTGGGTTTGGTATCTGCCTCTTTCTTAGGTGGTTTCTCATTGTCTGGAGGTGCAGGCTCGATTGCAGGAGGAACTGGTTTTCCCAGACCACTTTTGATGTGCTCGGCAGCCTTTTTGGCAGCTTGCCTTTGAGGAACGTACGCTAAAATTTCTTGTAGTTCAACCTTCTCTTTCTCCACTTCCTTCTCCATATCGACATCGGAGGAAGCCTTAACTTCCTTCTTTTTCTCTTTGGGCGCATCTTTAATTTCGCGAACCTCTTTTTCTTTCACCTTTTCTTCTTCCTTAGGAATTTCCTTAGTGTCTTTGCTGGGTTTACTTTTTGCCTTTGGCTTCGACTTTTCTTCCACTTTGGCAGGCTCTTCAGCAGGAGGAACATGTTCTTTAGTTCTGGAAACGGTTGTGGTTTTCAAATTCTCGGTCGCCTTTTTCGCTGCCTGCCTTTGTGGCACTATGAGATCGCTCTGTACATAATCGTTCTTCTTAAATGTACTTTCCACCTTCGCTTCTTCGTTTTTAGCTTTCTTCTTGACTTCGGGGCTATCTTTACTAGCATTCTTCGCTGAAGGTTTGTGTGAGAAATCTTTGACTGCCGCCTTCGTTCGTGGTTTCCTCGAGTCATTGGTGGCACTAGAGGATTTGTCATCATTTCTAGTTGATTCGTCGGAGCTGTCACTATCGGAATAAATGGATGACATGGACTTGATGTTCTTGGAATTATCGCCTTTATGGGACGATCGAATCGGCATGAGTTCATCACTGTCGGAACCCGTTTCACCTAGTTCGGTTTCGACTTGTCTCAGTCTTGACTTGGAATAGTGACCCCAATCTTTTTTCATGGGTTTCAATTCCTCTTCGCTGCTGCTCTCTATCCTGTTGTGCGACAAACTCGATTTCTTCGTCTTCTTCTCCAAGACTTTGCTAATGTTATTCATTTTGTGAGGGGAAGGCGTCTTTTTCTTCGACAAACTGGATATCGTCGGTTTTTCTTCTTCGGAGCTCGAGAGCAACCTGTTTTCTTTGTTGTCTTTAGGTTTCTCGTCTTCGCTGCTCGCGCTAGACATGCTGCTGCCGTACATGCTAGCGCTACGCCGTTTGGAAGAACCGTTGTAGTACATTTTCTTGTACGGATTGTTTTTCACGTCTTTGAACAGCCCGTTTATCCCCATTTTGGACTCGTCCCCGGAATTCGTCGGAGACTTGACCCCCGCTATCCTGGCCAAGATGGTATCGAAGTCGCTGGTGTGATCTTCAGCTTCGTTATGCGAATAGAGCCTGTCGTATATCGACGGACCGTGGTTGGCTTCTATCACAGCCTCGATAACGGTCGACTGAAGGGAATGAGAGGATTCTAGAACGGCCGTTTGCTTGTGGAAAGTCTGTTCTCGCATCCGGAAAAAGGTCCTCGACAACTTTTCTCGCCTGCTCACCATGTAGCACAAGTTTCGCACCCTTTCCAAGTCTTGACGCAGCTGCACGAACATCTTCATCTTCTCCAGATCGGCTTGCTCTCGCTTCTGCGACAGCACGTCCACGTCTTCGGATTTGGGTGGTAGCAGGGGCTTGTTGAATCCGGCTTTCCTCTTCAGCTTCCAGTAGTTGTAGATGTACTGGAGGGCCTCATTATCCAAATTGAAGTGGATGGACACGTCCTTGACGGTGACGTGCTTGAAGAATTCAGCCTCGATTTCCTGAAGCCTCACAGCCCTAGCCTGGTTCTTCTCTTCCGACGTCATCTCTTTCCGTTTCTTCCGCTTGGAGTCATCATCCTCGGATCCGGAGCAAATGCTCTTCTCCTTTTTGCTGGACTTGCTGTGTTTCTCGCAGTAAGACCTCAGCTTGACCCCATCGTCGGCGTTCTCGTCTTCGATGATCGCCCTCATTTCTAAACCGTGTTTGAAGGCGCAAGTGACGTGATACGCGGTCTTGCAAGTCTTCACCGAGCACTGTATACAAGCCCCGACCCGTTCCCGACAAAGCACGCAAATCAAGGCCCACCTGCTCTGCGGGATGCTCGACACCTTCGTGATGGGCTCCATCTTCTCCACACACCCTATACTCACTTCCGGTATCCAGAGGGCGCAAGACACATGCGCCCACTTCTTCCCCGTCCTCAAGCACTTCATGGCGCCTCCTTTATTGGGACACAGCACGCACTCCGGCCTTTTGCCCAGGTTGCACGTGCAGCACAGCCATTGGCCCTCGGGGATCCGTGTGATGCCGTAGCAGGCTTGGTGCACGCAGATGTTGCAGCTGTCGCAGAAGACCATCTCGTTGCCTTCCTCGGAGTCCGGGGAGCGACAGACGTCACAGATGACGTTCTCGTCGTACTCGATGCCCATGCCTTCCTCGTCCCGCAGTATGGATTGGATCTTGTCCCAGCAGCATAATTCGAGCCTCTCGATGGCCCTTTCGAGCTGTTCTTCGTAGACGGGGCCAAGGCCAGCCGAGGCGCGTTCCGCGTTGAATATTTTTAGCCAGGCGACGTCGCATTCGTCGAGGTCGTATGAGCAGGCTGCTTCGGATTTGGCGGGCGCGTGGGATAGTACGTGTTCTTCCGGTTTGAAGTTTTCGTCTTTAGTGATGCGTATGTATTTGTTTTTCGGCCTGCAAGAGATGACCGTGTCAGCTTAAGGATCGTTTGTTCAAATTTCGATTTTTAAAATAACCGGTGGATTATGATCGTCATTTTCTACTAGATGAAAACCCAGTATCCAGTGATTAGGGCTTTCCGGTTAACGAATCGCTTAATGCCAACTAGTACCAGGTTGAAAGTGATATTGAACATGTTCAGTTACTATTTATGACGTAATTATTTTTTACCAATATCTTATTGACAACTGCTGACATCGTGATTGCACGGAGTTAGAAAACAGTTTTCATAGTTCCTAAAAAACTGGACCTTAGGCAAACGTTACATTCTTGCAAGTTATGACCGTGTCAACTTGATTAGGTTTCGAGAGTTTTCCATCTCTTCCCTCATAAATTGAATTATTCGATGAAAACCAATGAAATTCAAATGGGAGTGTTGAAAAATATGGCACTTATAGTATAAACAGTTGCTCAAGTTTACTATGTGCAAAATGAATAATTATAAGTATCGTAAGTTTTTGATAACTAATATTCATAGATGTCTGATTATAATCTTTGAAAACAACTATGAACGGAATAACTAATGATTCCTAATTGAAATGAATACAGGGTGAGGACTTTAACTGAAATAAAACGCTAGTGGAGAAGTGATTTTTTCTAAAAATTTTGCAAGCAATATGAAGAATAAAGCCATCGAGGGGTAGCTGAAATCAGCCCCAACAAGTCTTTTCAAATGCAACCCTATGGCTTGTGATACCTCTTTGGAAAGCTAGTTGTGAGAGGAATGCGCCGCCGTACTGATGAAATTTCAGTTTGCAGTACGTTTGAGGATTGCATAAAATTGCTCTGAATTTTCTGTGCATGAGGACATCTGAAAATTTGATCAGAACGCTGAATTCCTGAGGGGCTGTATTTTCCATATTGCATGCAAAATATAGGTAAATACATTGACACGTTGACGTATTTCTCGAGACCGACAGCCACTAAATCCATTTTTGTGGAAATTAAAATTTCGCAAGATTCTTACACTGTTGCATTCAAATGAACACTGTTATTCATAAGGTGGGGTATGGAGTTAGTAACAACGCCTACCAAAAATTCACATAAACTTCAACCATTTTTGAAAGAGAACTATTTTTTACATTCAATATATACTCACAGCCTAAAATCATGGCGAGATCTGAATCGCCCACCCCCGTTGATGGCGACCAGCGGTTCCGGCAGCGAGTCCGGATTCACAGGCACTTGCACGCCTCGCTCCCACTCCTGCTTCCATTGGTCGACGATCAACTGTTCAAATTCAATGAAATGAATACTAGTACTGAAAATTATGAAAAATGATATGCAAACTTCTATTTTGGGCCGAATATCTCGAAAACTGTTGACTACAAAAAAGAAATGGAAAGGTTAGTACAACCTCCTGTAGCGGACCACTGATTTTTATCTAAAATTGTATTGATTAGTAAAAAAATATGGCCACGCTGGCGCTGCACCGGCAACAGCGTATTATGCTGCGGTGATTCCCCGTCTTTCCGAAACGTTGAAGCCGAACCACCTTTCCGTGTGGCATTTTTATTATTTTTTATTAGGTTCGATTTCTGATTGAACGGAGAAATATCTTACCGTTTGTTTTATCAATAAAAAGTTAATGCCTTTTGATTTTCCAGCCAGCCTTTTCTTGTTTTATTTGAAAATAAAGTGGAAGTGTGTGGTGTCAAATTATTCGTAAAAAAATGATCTTTCACAAAAAGCCGACGAGCCACCCCCTTTCCATTTGAAAAAATCAAGTTAACCGGAAAAAATCATATTTGCGGCTTTCAAATGATTATATGAACGAAAAGTCATAAGCCTCAATGTCATATTTTGGCATGGCATTCTAGACCGAAAAATAAAAATTGAAATGAAATAATAATTACTTCATTTGTCAAATATTGACAAGTGAGGTATTAGTTAGATTTAGAATGTCAGTTTCAATCGAAATAAGTTGAAATATACAGGGTTTCCCATCTAAAAATCGAAAGTTGAGCACATTCCAGTCAAACCGTAAGTGAGGCAATGCAAGTAAATACAAAAAAAAAAGGATAATACACACGTAGGTTGAGAAGTGAGCTATATAATAGCATTCTCAACCGAGGTATATATATAATATTTTTTCGACTATTAATACTGAAATATTTATTAATCCAGATTTTCAATTCCATTGGAGGTGCACAACACTTCCAACACTCTTCTCTATCAAGAAACTAAAATAGAACCCATTCCCACCCAAATCACTATCCTTTTTACATCCCCTTATTCACCAAACCAATACTCTCCAGACATCAAACCAATATATAATAATATATGCACTTTTTTTCTCATATAAATTTGTAAAATCACTTCAAATACATGTATTCTAAAATACATAATAATTTTGTATATACTGACAGGAAGACTTTTTGGTCGTTAGCCATTTGGCATATATTTTTTTTATTTTATGTCCGATAAAGTTTATTTTCTTCTCTCTACCTATGAATGCAGTAATCAAGAGAAGCAGTTATGGGGAGTTCACATATCGAAATTATCGTACGAATAACGCACTCTTTGTTCACCAAAAGAGATTAACTTCTTGAAATATTACAAACTGTATACCCAGTATATTATATATCTTCCTAATTTTGACGTCAATCAAGCTGTTATGGCCACGTTATGGCTGTTGTCTAGCAATATCAATACATCAAAGAATAGAGCTAAATTGTCATTCTGTGTGTAAAAACTTTAGACAGCAAGAAAGCAATTATGGGTTGCGTGCAAGAACTGTCAGATGACCGACACTGGAGGCAAAATATTGAAACACAATGTCACTTTTCTTTTTTGTTTTGTTTACATGCAAGTGATCGAAATAGTTTTTCACAATTATTTTGGCATAGGAATCGTATTTTTCCGCTATTCATCAATTCGCTCATGCCATCACATTGTGCTGTTGTAAAATGCACAAAAACTGCAGCGGAAGATGAAGGAATCCGGATGGTACATTATGATTCAAAAGTAAGTACCTACTAATAGTCACTCACCTATAGTTTTCATTTTTGAAATTTGGTAATTTCTCTGATTTCTCATCGGAATTCCTAGAGCTAATAGAAATACAAATGAAATTTCTAAAATTATGCAAGAAGATTGGATTCATGCAATCAATCGGGAGGCTGGTCTGACATGCTGACGATCGTGTGTGTTGTAGACATTTTCAATCTATTAGCAGTATTAGCTTGTATTGCAGGAGTGGCAGAAGGAAGAAGGAATTTTAATAAGGAATGACAACATTTCATAATGATAACTATGTGAGATTACTATTTACCTGAAAAATCATATTCCTTAGTCTCTTGCTGCATTGTTTGTGCATTGTACAACAGCACAATGCGAAGGCATGCTTGAATTAATGAATAGCGCAAAAAACACGATTCGTATGCCAAAATATTGTGAAAAACTATTTCAATCCTTTGATTCCTCTGTAACCAAATAAAAAAGTGAGGTTGTGTTTCAATAATTTACAGAAGAATGAGGTTGTGTTTCAATATTTTCCCTCCAGGGTCGGTCATCGTGCACGCGACCTATTCAAAGAAGTGCGTTAGCAGAGTGATGTGATAAGATTCATGGAATGGGATGAAGAACAACATAGTAATCTGATGAATTGGTATGTGGATATAAGGAATTTGAGAACAGATCATCATCATGATTATTATGACTCACCCAATACTCGTCCAAGGCCAAGGGCTCCGAATCGGGCAGCTTCATCGCGCTGATGAGGTCCTTGCGGAAGAGCTCGGCAGGCGCCTCGGCCGTGGATCGGTTGTAGATGCCCTTGAGGTCGTTGGGGCGGGGCCAGGGGGGACCGCTGCCGCCTCCCGCGGCCGCCGCCGCCGCCGCCAGGGAGGCAGCCACTTCTTCCTCCTCGGCCGCCGTCCGCTGCAAGAAAAAAAACGCAAGCGTGCAAAACGACGATATTTTTCATGGAATTTTGTACAGGGTGATTTTCCATAGAATAGAATAGAATTTATTGATCTCATAATATCAAATAATGACATGAGACTGGTCAAAAAGAACAAATTAAAATTGAAAAGTCTAGAGTCACTGGATGGTATTAGTTTGATAAGAGTTCGGACACAGAAATAACAACGGTTAGGGTTTTCGAATGTTTAGATTTATTAAGTTACACACCTTGCATTGTGACAAGAGCAACATTGTCGTCCCGCGCTTTTTCATTCAAAATTGTTTGAATTTGACAATAAATTTCATTAACGTCAGAATTGAAATAAAATTTCATAATTATACTTTCGAGAAAAAAGCAGTTATGGAAATTACTTGCTGTGTTATGAATTGTGCCAATTCTGAAGAAAATGGATATCATTTATTCAATTTTCCAAAACAAATATCAACCATTCGCTTATAGAAGGTAGATATGGGTGGAAAATCGATTTGAAGACGAGCATTTGTAAGGTACTCATTGAAATTCACTTCCTATAACAGCATCTGATTAGAATGAAACTATATTTTAGGCCCATTTTCAAACAGAACATTTCAAAATCTGTTTGAAAAAATCTGCTGTTCCATCAATTTACAAAGCAAAAGAATATTAAGGAATTCAAAAGCGAGTTGAAGTATGGGATTGAGAAGTTAGTGAATTTCTTATTACGAATGTAAAACTCTGTGTTTTCAGTTTTCACAGTTTCAGAAGGTATATTATGTTCTCACATATCTATTATACCTACTTAGGTATTTATGTGAACATGAAACCAATGAGAATAATAATTATTTATGTATCAAGGGAATAAATATAAGGGCCTTAATTACGCTGGAGGTTATCGTTTTGGAGATATTTACAATTTTCTATATCGATCGATGTTACTTAGCTCCTAGGGCGCTAAGTGAAGTTGCTGAGAACTGTAACTTGAATACTTTGGAAAACGCACGGCAGGGACTGACGATTAAAATTTGGGAAGACCTGAACCAACATGACATTTTGGGTATAGGCTGTCTTTGCCAAGAATTTTTTCGTGCCTGCGGCGGAAATACTCGCTATTGACCCTTTCGTTTAACTTGTGACTTCGCATTCTGTTTCCTTTTTTCGTTATTTAATTTGGATTTTATGGTGTTTCTCCAGTAATGGGAAAGATAATGGAGTGAATCCAAATAAGAAATGTTGAAAAAAGATAAGACTAAAGTGTGATTTCAATTCTAACTCGATAGTGTAACGACTACAGGGTATTACAAAAAGAGGTTTTTATGCGAATAAATTTTCCACACCAATGTTCAGAAACGAAAAACGGCCAAATCGGAAAAGTACTTTTGACGAAAATGTTTCCTGAACTTCTGGCAGTGCGTTGATTTCTTGGAGAAGTACGGTATAATACCTTTCATTTTTAATAAATTATCACCACTTTTCTGACTCCAGAAAAACAATTTTTGTGTGTTGGCTTCTACAGATATCGTGTTAGCATGAATGAGGATATATTTGACAGTTGTATATTGCATCCTGATTCGAATACATTCTCCAACTGATCGCCTGATCACCAATTCATCAAACAAAGTTTGTTTTTCTAGACTCAAAAAAGTGGTGATAAAGAAGTGAAAACAGATGATAACACCCTGTATATATATATTTTTTTGTCATCACAAACATTCACAGATTCCGAAAAAAATATAAAAAAAAGGGTGTTGCATTTAAAAAACTCAATTTATGGTTTGTCACGCTTTTAGGCATCACCCTGTGAAACTTCTGAAACGGAAAAGCGCAGTGGAAAGTCCTCATTGCGGCATTCAACTTCTGCATTTTTTTTTCTTTTCGATCCTCGTGGATAACCATCTAAATTTTTTTCGCCACTCCAACATTCCTCTTCATAATCCACCTAATTAACCGCTCTATGAAAATGTCTGGCATAAAACCCATGGAGACACGGCTGCAAGGATTTTCCCAGAGATTCTGGCAAAAACATAACATGGAGATACTACAAGAATTCTGCATAAGAAGAAACCACGAGGTAGGTTGGCAAAGTTGCGCAATTTTATGCCTAGCAATGTGCCGTTTTGAAATTTGAAAAATTCCGAAAACTTCTAAAGATGTTTGGAATAAACCGAATATTCGCGATTTAATTTTTATTTTCATACTAGCTGACCCAGCGGACATTGTTTTGCTATGTACAGGGTGAACAACTAAGAACGGCTGTCGGCCATATCTCAGCGACGAATAATGATACATGTGTGAGATAGAATAAATCTAATGGTATGTATATCATTACACGATGTAATAGAGAAACTAAATCTCAACAGACCAACGGAAACCGCAACATGATAGCTTTTCGCCAACGGAAGATATCAAAGTTGGAAGAATGATAGATATGACAGCCGTTCTTAGTTGTTCACCGGGTACATTATTTCTAGAAAATATTTTTTCAATTGAATATTCAACAACGCACTTTTATTATTTTATTTTCTGGATTGTTTAGTTTGAATGAAAACGTGTTTTCTCAATTTTTCAAAACTACTACTTATTTTCTACTTCTTTTCAGTTCGTAATCTATCTCTTTAGTTTTCTAACCTACTATTCATTTTCTACTTCTTGTTAGTTTGGCTATCTATGAAAGCGTGTTTCATTAGTTTTTCGTAATACTAGCAAAGTTTGTTCGATATATTGAATCCGCCATCTTGGATTTTCTGATTATGACGGAGGAATCATAATCTCCGACCCCGAAAATCGTCAGATATCAATTTTAAATGAAATCGGATAATAAATAATAAACTCGTTTGCCGTATTGAATCTGCCATCTAGAATTTCCAAAATTTGACGAAATAATCATAATCTCCGACCCCGAAAATCCTTGAATACCAATTTTGAATAGAATCGGATCATGAGTACAAAAGTCATCCGCCATATTGGATCCACTATATTGAATTTTCGAATTTTGAGGAAAGAATCATAATCTCCGACCCCAAAAACCCCCAGATACCAACTTTGAATAGAATCGGAACATAATTACAAAACTTGTCCGCCATCTTGAATTTTCCAATTTTGAGAAAAGACTCTAATTTCCGACGGCAAAAAACCCCAGATACCAATCTTGAATATAATCGGATTATAATTACAAAACTCGTCCGCCATCTTGAATTTCTTAATTTTTTCTTTCGTAGGAACCTTCTCCTGACAATAACAAACACAACAAAAAAATAATTAGTGAAATCGGTCAAGCCGTTTACGATTCTATGAAGGACATACAAACATTCATTTTCATATATAATATATATACAGGGTGATTCAGATTTTAAGGTACAAACTGAAATGGGAGATAAATCTCATCATTTTAATAATCAAAAAAGTTTCAGTGATCAAATTGTGTGGATGGTTCAATTTCGAGGATATTTTGCTCCCCAATTTTTTACGAGAAACGAACCGTTTGTGAGATAAATAAGCATATACGTTCTAAAACATGTTAAGTTTCGCTTAAACTTTATTCTTTGACAAAATCGTTGAAAATGCAATGAAATGTACTCACTAAAATTGCATTCACGAGTACAATCTGGATCAGTAACGAAGATACAGAGGGTAAAAAGTCAAGAGTTTTTTTTACAGTTGAATAAAATTTAAGCGAAACATAGGCAAAATTAACATGTTTTAGAACGTATATGCTCATTTATCTAAAAAACGATTCGTTTTTCGAAAAAAATTGAGGTGCAAAAAAAGCCTCTAAATTGAACAATCCACACAATTTGATCACTGAAAGATGCCAGAGGCGTATCACGAAAAAGTTTGAGGGGATAAAGAAGCCTCTACCTCCAAAAACGTATCACCCAGTAGATTTTGAGAATCTTCAAAAAGCTAGAAATGATGATCTTCTAGAAAGTATTGACCATACCAAATTTCAGAAGGATATCTCGAAAAGTAAGCGTGATATTCCAGTTAAGAGAAAAAAATAATTAAACTTTGACCCCCCGTAGCTCCGCTACTGAACGAGATCAGACTAATGTTTATATATACACTTTTCTGATTGAAATGATGAGATCTATCTCCCATTTCAATTTGTGCCCTAAAACCTGAATCACCCTGTATATATACAGAGAAGAGCACAAAAAACGGCCAGGACTGTCACTTTTGAAAGTTTGAAATCAGGATAATTTGAGGAATTCAAATTTATCGAAATATACAGGGCGTTTCATTTGAAAAACATATTTATTTTTGTATACCCTGTATATTTGAATAGATATTGCATCATTGTCAAAATGACTGAAATCTGTGTGAAAAATTGTATAAAATCAGATTTAAATTTTTTTTAATGAGTGGAAAACAAAAAAGATAGAGTGGGGTTCACATTAATAAAACTAGCCCTGTACAATAGGACTTATGTATTGTGTTTATAGCAGTACACTCCTACTGTGGAACTGAATTCTTATTTCTATGTGGAAATATTTTCAGTAGTTGTTGAGCAATGTCATGTCTTCAAAAGCTATCATTTTGAGAGGTGATTATTTTGATTATTGAAAAAAAATATTTGATGATGATTTTATATGATGAATAACTTCATCAAATAATTCAACTAGTTTGTACAACCCCAATTTACAATCCCAAATAATTGTCTGTCAAGAAATAATGAATACCATATTTTGACATGAAAGGGAGCACTGAATTTTATGGACACTCTGTTTATGAACCCTATGTGTGATATATTTTTGAATTCAGATTTCCAAGGAGATTCCAAAATTTGAAAAATGTATTAGTGTAACATTTGAAAACATTGTCATGGACATCAATACTTTAAAGTTGATCACCCTGTATTATTAATTTTCCATATAAATGCTGCACATTGAGGTTAAAAATCATCCTGTGTCAGGAGATTCTTCCAAAATGGATAGTTTGGTTACTTTATGAGAGGACTTTTATATTCAACAAATTAATGTACAGGATATTTGAAAAAAACAGCCTGCATTGATAATTTTGAGGCCAATGTCAAAATGTCACAATTGAATTTTGTCATTCATGGAAAACTTCTGATATATGTTGTCCACATATTCATGGAAAATCACTTTCAATAGATCTTCACCAGTTCAGTGTATACCTACAATATACAGAAAAACAATTTTTTGACTTAGGTTATGAGTGACCAAAAAGTGTCAATGAAATTCAAATTACCCTAGTAGGTGGTGAAATAAACACAGTAGCCAAATAAAATCTAAATTTTCCATTGATACTCCTCATGGAATTCAAAATTTCAGTCAATGACCTAGAAATAGTGACTCATCACTCACCCTACAAATTCTTGTTACAAACATGCTTTATACTCACTTTGCGCCTTTTAACAGGAACAGAGGCATCTTCAGAACGATTAGGCCTTTTAACTCTCTGTGACATTGCACTCAATTTGAGCAGGTAGGATGAATCTCCTGCACTGCCTAAAATAAAAAGTATCTTGTGAATACTTACATATTAGACTCTATGAATAGACACAGCAGAACATTTTCATTGATAAATATTGTATATTGTCTGATGAATACAAAAAAGTACTCACTACATAGTCACCCAGCACCTGTATATGGCTGGTATATACATATACATAACTAGGTCTGCAACAAGAAAATAAATAAAGCTCAACTGACCACCCTGAAGGGTATTTACTGCACAGTGCACAGTAGATACTATCTATCTACTTCAAAACTAGACTAGGAAGTATTTCAGGGGTTACTGCAATTAAAACTGAAAAAAATAAGGTTTTCTTATATGGCCTTTGATTATCCATAGTAGCATCACAGGGATAATTGTGTTCTTCAGATATTGGCAAATCCGTTGATTAGCATGCAAAGTTAACGAATCTCATGCTGGCTCAGTGATGATTTCCAAAATATAGGTAATAATCTTGCAGAATAATATGACAAAACAGTAGAGGTGTCTCCCATGTCTAGATTGTAAACATCTCACTGTAAACCTTCACACGAGCACACACAATATTTCACACAATTTCAACAAAATAATATGGAAAATACATCCGATTCGTTACCATTTCAACTGAATTTCTCATGTCTTCGATTGATTTTTAAAAGATTTTGATTGAATCGACTCCATTAGACTCCATTTGGTAAGCCTAACAACATTGACAATTTTATAGGTGGCAGCACCGTCTGCAGTCGACACAGCAAGCAAGTTCGCTGTAGCTATCCTTTTCTATAAATTCATATTTTTGATATTTCGTTCGTCTAAAAAATCGATCAAAGTATGGAATACTCTGACTGAAAATCTGAAAACGCATATTTTACCTTGATTGAGTCATTTTCAATTCATCACTGGATACTCATCAATGAAAGTTGATAAATATGGCATAGTCTTTCTCTTTTCATCTTTTACCCAATATGTCCCCAATCCCATTGAACGGGTTGGCAATGTTGGCATTTTTTCATGTAGAAGAGGTCATTAAGTTTGTTTTTAAAAAAGAGAGAAATTCAAGGTAATTATTTTCTAGGAAATACAATTAGTGAATTAAACTAGATATGTAATGATATATTCTATTTTCTTCGAGAATATCAGAAAATGTGTAAATTGTGTCACATGACAGAACGTTTTGGCGGGCTGGGGAGAGGGCAAGGCAAAGGGGTCAATAAGGGCAGGCAGGCAGATTAGGGAAAGGACACATGAAAAACAATTCATTATAACTCTCGAAAAAATTTGAAAAATCTAACTAGTTCAATGTGAGACACGTGAAATGCACCTGAATCCTGAAAACAATAATTTATGTACCACAGAGTGCACAGACTCTTCTTTCGAAATCAATAATAATAGAAATTGTCTTTCTCTTCTAGTCATCTTCTTTTACTCGCTCTTTGTTACGCCCACGAAATAGGGTAGTTTTCGCGACCAACCATTGAAGAATCTCTGGTTTGAAGAAGTCCTTTTATGACGTCACTGTATGACGTTATTGTTGCACAGTGCACACACCCATGCATGCACACCATTTTTGTATATGTTGCCGCCAACGGATAAATAGCCACTACCAGAGTGATTCTAACCTATAAAAACAAAAAACATTGAAAATTTTGAAATATTTGTTTTCGTGTGTTTGTTTCACATAATTATCTTTGGAAGCGGTAACGTTTGCTATTTCAAAAATTGAGAGCAACATTATACAAATATCTCGAATGAAAATTGCATAATAGCAGTAACATGGATCAGGTACGTGGGAATAACTTCAGATTAATGTTTTAATCTTAACTTTATTTGGAATTTTAGATCAGAGGAAAAATAGATCAAGCCTGTAGAGTAGCTGAAGAATTCACTAAGCTTTACTATGAAACTGTTGATAAGAGGAGACATGCAAGTTGCTCAATTTAATAAATTTTTGTTGTTTAATTATAAGTATCATTCTAGTTGATATCCAGACTCTATTTGGATACTGGACTTCTGGCTTGGAATGGTAATGGAATCACTGGTAATGAAAATATACTCAAATTCATGATTGACCTTCCAACCACAGACCATGTTATCAATACCCTAGATGCTCAACCAATCCTTGGTAACATATCTACTTTTTTCAATGACATCAATTTCAACAGTTTTTTACAGATTCTGCAGTAAATGGCCAGCTAACTTTCATGATTCAAGTTAGTGGAACAGTCAGATATCAAGATAAGACTCCCAAAACCTTCCAACAGAATTTCATTGTGACAGCACAAGGAGATAAGTGGAAGATAGTTAGTGATTGTTTTCGATTACAAGAACCATTGAATTCTCCTAGTAAATAAGGTATTCCTGAATAATTAAATAACAACAAGAGAGCATTTAATCACATTTATTTCCTTTTTTTTTAATAAATGAAGTACAAAATCTTAGACTAGGTATTTTATAGTAAAGCAACATCATGGGTTGGGGATAACAGGAATACATATTCATTCAATTCTCTTAGAGAAAATCAACCTGGAAGATAAACTTCAAAATGATAATGGTAACAACTATTTTTTTGTTTCTGTAAATTTGTAAACAGTTCAATTTTGGCTGCACTTCAAAATTGTTTATGAATTCAAATTCTATATCATGAACTATGGATACAGACACATCAATCAATATCCAGTCAATAAAAGTACCAATAAATTGATTTTTGGACTATGCAAAAAATAATGACTATGGCTCTTCAATTTTGAAACACTTTGAAATCCAGTCATAGGGCAATAATCTGTAAGTACACACTCAAAAACATCAACAAGACCTGCTGTCACAAACAAAAAGCAGCAGAGTGTCTCTTACAAATTTGGTTCTTCTGGTGGCAAATTATTGGCATCAAGATCAGGGATACCCCCCACAGCCCCTTCTTCATTTTCAACTCCCATGGGGCCATCAGATGGCATAACCGGTTGGGCCATAGAAGAAGAGATAGGATTGCCTCTAGAATCCAATTCCAGGGCAGGGTCTGCAGTAGCTTCTGCTAGGTTTGTCACACTTTTGGACTTCACACATTGAAAGTCCACATGACGACTTTTTGCTTCTTCTTTTTCCCATGACATATGGATGAAGGGCCGCTGGACATAATTGTAAATCACTTCTGCTCTACCACCTGGTCTTTTCTTCACTTTTTCTTTGTAAGTTGGATATCCTGTGATGTAAATTACAACTCAGCAAGACATTGATGAGACATTGTCCTTTACATGAGATTATTTTAAAATTAAGGTTGGTAGAATTGATGACAAAATGATAAGCAAAACAAAAAAAAAGTGAACCAATAAAAACTAAATAAACAGGCTGTTTTGACAGCTTTCAAGAGCTAGTTCTAGAGGTCACTGACTTACTGAAAATAACACATAAGGCCGAAAAGAAAATGGTTCAAGAAACAATTTGAGAAAATATTCATCTTCTGCATTATTGAGTGACATTACCTTCTATTCCCAGTCTGATTTTCTTCAGCCCCCTATCTTTCAAAACCTGTTTGGCAACATCTCTGTTTTCAATGTACTTGAAAAACCTGTACATGGCAGTGCTGTTGACAGTCTGGCTATATTCCTCTCCCATCTGAGGAGGATACTCTTCATCCCAATCTACAGTGTCATCATCTAATAGGACAACTATGTGACACTCACGGTCCCCCCTTTGGGCAGAATTAACCATCAGAGGCAAAATTAGTTCCTCCAGGAAAACCTCAAATTGGCACCTTGCACCTTCATTAGATAGTTCATGGAGAAGCCCCCCTGCAATATTTTGTTCATTGCTTTACTTGAGAAGAGAAATAATTATTTAATTTAGTAACAAACAAACTTGTGATCAATTTAGAATGGGGAATAAACCCTTGAAAATCTTGAAAATTATTGATGTACCAGAAAATGAAATTGGTCCCTGTATAGACCCTTGTGGTTCCATGTTCCTTTTGTGCAAATTATTTTTTTTACCTCTTCTCTTTACTTGATGAAAGTGGTTTTCATTTCATTTAGTATCAAACAAACTTATGACCAACTTTTGAAAAGTGAATATACCCTCTATGAAAATATCTTGAAAATCATTGATGTACCAGAAAATAAATACTGGTCCCAGTACTGATCCTTGTGGTACTCCACACTGCAATTATGTTCTGAGTAACAACAGTCACCTCTCAACAGCTGTTCCTTTTGGGCATTATTTTTCATGTACCTCATCTCTTTTGAATTCCCTATTTTATAATCCATTAAGTATGAAATGAAAAAGAACCCCCCCCCCTTGATCTTGATAAAAGGGCTTTATTGTTTTATTAAGTATTACTAAAACTTATGAACAATTTAGAATAGTTAATAGGTATATCATCTATCAGGAAATCTTGAAAATCATTGATGAATCAGAAAAAGAAACATTGGTCCCAGTATTGACCCTTGTGGTACCCCACTCTTCATTTCAATTCTTTTCTGAGGAACAATAGTGACCTACCACCACCTGTTCCTTTTGTGCTAATTCTTTGTATTTTGTACCTTCTCCTTCTCAAATACTCTCAATTTTAGTTTATTGAGCATAAATGAAATGTAAAAAAAAACAAAAATCACTTCTAGACCTAGTTAACAAGGAACATAATCTCCTATGAACTCACTCAGATTTTGGCAGCGTACTGTATGAGCATCAAATGGTACCAGCAGATAATCACAAGCTTCCCTTAGTTCTTGTACAGACACTGAGGGGGGACACTTGATCAGTCCCCCTTTGTAGAACTCCATAATAGCTCTGAAAACTGAAGCTGGGATACCATCAGCAACCTCATACTCCCCTCTCTCATTGGGGTGAGTGAAATCCAATGATGAGCTGAACATTCTCCCTAGCATTGTGTTTGGATGAGCTGTGAAAATAGCTGGATCAACCACAAATCTTGTATTATCAACCACAAGGGTCACTCTGTCTTCACTAGCCATATTCCCTGGATTGTTTCCTTGAGTATTTGGCTTGTTGGAACTGTTTGGTTGCAACACAACTCTTGCATCCAGAGTTGTGAGTCTTGACCTAGAAAATGGATATTCTCAGGAAATGATAAAATCATGAGAAGATTGTGCTTGCCTATTGCGAGGGTTACATTGCTTAGGCGTAGCTACAGAATGGCACCGAGTTTCCATTAGGGACATGGACCTTTGTACTAAACATGACTTGGGCTTCAACATTGATCCATAACTACGCAAAGCAATATATTAGTAGAACACAACATAAATGATCATTGGTTATTTTCATACCTGAGACGATTCTTGAACACCCTTCTTCTACGATCATCAGTATAATCTTCTGTATCACTGCTGGTATCATTGTTTGTATATAAATGACGATCACCAGCTCCAGCCATTTGAACGTTTGACAATAAACACTTAACAAACACGTAAAAGTAATCAGTGCAAATTTCTTTGGCCCCAATCCAGACCATAAACGAAATTTCTTTCACATCCGAGAATAGAAAGAATCACAAAATATTTTCTAATTTTCTTCTTTCCTTCGCCCTTTGCCCCTTTGCAAACAAAAACTCAAACCACATTAACCACCGGCTGTGTGTCAACTGTCAAGCAATGAAGTGTCAAGTCATTCGTTCGACCACAGTGGTTATGCCAGGATGGTCAATATGGTTGACTCGACTCCCATCAAAAGTTAACGTGGTAACTTTGTGGGCAGGTTTGAAACGTGACCGATATTTCCAAACAGCTGGTTGGTCAAACCAGAGATAAGTTTAACTTATCTCTGGTCAAACCGATGGTCAGACTTCATACTCATACTGAACGTATGTGCAAGGTCAAACCACAGACTTGACACTGCCCCCATCACCCCCATCTATCCAGTATCCAGCAATCAGAAAGAAGCGTCTAGCTAGACCATCGAATACTTAATCTTTTTGAGAAACTACGGTACTACGAGTGAAGTGATAGACACAGTGGTCTTTGTATCTGACTTCCACGTTGGTGACTGGTTCAATCCCTGCCAGGCATCAATTTTGGATCAACCATCAACCACGGATGGAAAATGGTTCAACCGGTTAATACCGAATACCGGTTCGTCGAATGACCTTGAAATTTGGTCAATGAAATGGATTCTGGTCAGTGATTCTGGTTGAGATTCGAGACATGAGACAAAGAAGAAGAAGAAGATTTGTTCTCTGTCGAAAGTCGAACCGGTATTTGGTACATTTTTCATTTTTATCATTTTGTTTTTGTGTGGAAACTGTTGTTTTCTGGGTTTCTAGAAAATATATTTAACAGATCAAAGTTTGAAGGTAAAATCAGCGATTGCTTATCCGGCTGAAGGCTTTCAATTCAATAATCAAAATCGTATTTTCTAGATGTTCAGGAATGAAGAAGATGAGGCAAGTGATTATGATGAAGGGGATGAAACTTTTGAGTCTCATAACTTCAAGCCTTCCTATGTAGTTGTTGCAATTGATACTCACCATTCAATGTTCAAAAGGAATAAAGAAAACAAGCTGCATTTTCGAAGTTGTTTGGAGGCTTGTCTTGCTCTTGCTGATTCCTTGATTTTAAAAACCAATACTAGAAGTTGGAGACCTTTTTCAATAGTACTATCTGGACAACAAACTGCGCTGATAGGTTTCCATAATAATATCCTGGATACCATCAAATTATTGAAAGCAAAACTTCAACTTTCAGATGATGCTCTTACTAAAGAATTTCAAAGTAAAGGGGAGCTAGATCTAGCTGCCTTCTTTTTGGTCTGCAAGAAATTGTTTCATGATATCAAAACCACATTTTACAAAAGATCTCTGATTTATATAACAAACAATGACAACCCTGTGAATAAAAAGGCAGCAAAATTTACAGCTCTCAATGAAGCAAAAACTTTCAGTGGCAGTGAGATAGAATTCCAAGTTATTCCTACTGAAAACAACTTCAACTACAAGATATTTTACAATGAGTTGTTGTCTTTACTTGGTGGTCCTCGTATAGAAGAAATTTGCCTTGACACTGAAGGTCTTACTCTAAAATTATCATCATCAGTGGGAATCACTCAAAATCAGAGGAGGATGAAGTTCTATCCCTTCTTAAATGATCAAAGTCGGTATTTGAAATGTGTGAAACTAGATGTGGTAAGTCAGGTTGGGCGTCTCATCAATGTTATGATGACAAAAGATGGTAAAAAAGTCATGAACATGACAGAAGTGAGTGAGGAATCCCCAGAATTCTTCATAAAATCACATGCTGAAGGTGTTGATCATGTTAGGTTTGATCTAGCAGAGAAAAATATGCTGCAGCATTCCTCAATACCAATTGGTATAACCATGATGTATGTTTCCAAAAGACTTGTGGATATTGGACATGTTTTTACAAAGCCCTATTTGTTGAAAGAGGATCCCAGTGAAGAATTGCCTTTTTTCAACAAATTTTGGCAGGGTTGTGTAGATATGGACAGAGTTCTAATATGCATAGTGAACTCCAGAGAATTGGGTAAAATCCGGTATTCAGAACTTATTCCAGTTTTGGTTGATGATTCACCCATGTTTTTAGGTATGTACTCAATTTATTTGTTTATGTTTAGGCAAAAACATTCATTCACTAGCTTTCTTCATAATTTGATTATTTCATTCAGAAAGTGTATAGGCTGCTGACCAGTAGGCAGACTACTTTTTCTCTAAACTGCCGACCATTCAGTGGAATAAAATCTTTCTGTATAAAAAAAATATCCAAGACCATTAGTAGCTCAGTGGTTTCTGGTCCCATGTGGAATATGGAATAGTTTTTTTTTTAATTTTAATTTTTCAATCAATTTTTTTCTCATCAGATTTTTGTTTTACTAATCTGTTAGTCTGTGTGGGTTGAGTAATCTAGTTTTGCCTTTCTCCATTGTTATTTCACTAGATTTTTTTTTATCAGGTTTTTGTTCCACCAATAGGTTAGTGTGTTTGTTGTGTATGTATATCTAATTTTTTAGATATTTTTGTTTCAAATCATGTGTTTCCTTCCTTAGAATTGATAATTTATTTAGTCTACTGGCCGGCATCCTAAACAAAGAGTATAAATAAAGAATAGATAAATACACTCCACTATAGATGTATTTGCCTCATTCCTTATTCATGAATTTTCAATAAAATTGGTACCATATAAAAGCAATATGGTCTAACTATACTTCTAGGTCCAATAAAATTGACAAATTGTTGAAATTTTTTTTTATTCACATTCAGGTCACAAAGATTAAAAAATTCATTTGAAGAGCAAATATTTGACAAAAGAGGCTAACCTTTGTTTCAAACTTGACTTCAGAATTAAGATTTTCAACCACCCTGTATCTATTTCAATTAAATATCCATTGATAGTGCATGAAAAGGTGAGATAGGGACATGAAAACCGTTTTGACTTATCATGAATAGTTTTGTCACAAGAAATTCTTGAAGTTGAAAAATCGAGATTTTTCACACCCTATATCTTTGTTATCATTCCCGCTAGAACCAAAGTGTAATAGATCGATGCAATCAGCTCTTTAGGAAGAATCTGAAAATGGAATAATATATATTTTATTTCAACTCCTTTTTAGTTCTTTTGAATTTCCCAATTTTGACGAAAGAATCATAATATAGGAACATAATTACCATTACCAAACTCGTCCGCAATATTGGATCTACCATCTTGAATTCCCTAATTTTGATGAAGGAATCATAATTATTGTCGATCTCGAAAACGCCCACTCAGAAATTTTGAATAGAATCGGTATATATAACAAAAACTCGTCCGGTATATTGGTTTCACCTTCTTGAATTTCCAAATCCCGCTCTTTCCAGATTTTGACAAAAGAATCATAATCTTCGACCCCCAAAACACTCAGATAACAATTTCGGATCATAATTACAATACTCGTCCGCCATCTTGAATTTTCTAATTTTGACGAAAGAATCATAATCTCCGACCCCGAGAACCACCAGATACCAAATTTGAATAAAATCGGATCCTAATTACAAAACCATTTTGGATCCGCCATCTTGAATTTCTCATTTCTTAATTCTGACGAAGGAATCATAATCCCCAATCATGAAAACCCCTAGATACCAATTTTGAAAAGTTATAATTACAAAACTCGTCCGCCATATTGGTTCCGTCATCTTGAATTTCCGAATTCCACCCGAATTTTCAAATTCTGACGAAAGAATCATAATCTTCGACCCCGAAAACCCCCAGATACCTATTTTGAATAGAATCGGACTATAATTACAAAACTCGTCCGATATATTAGATCCGCCATCTTGAATTTCCTAATGGTACCGGGATAAAAAGTATCCTAAAACCTTCACCTCTTTATAATATTAGTATAGATAATGCAAATATCAAGAGCCTTTATCATACGGTAAATGGATTTGTTCACAGTCAAATCCTTGCCGTATGCAAATGAAATCTCCTACCCTGTCGAATCCGAGTACCCGGAATATATACCGGACGAAGAAAAGCGCAAAGTCGTCGAAGGCTTAGTTGACAAGCTGACGTTCGACTTCAACATCAGCATGGTGCCTGACGCCGTGATGGAGAAGAAGAAGGCTTACATCAAGGCCAAGCTGCTGGACGAGCCTACCGAAAACGTAGATGGACCGGTCACGTGCGATAAGGACACTTTGGACGAGCACCTGAAGGACGTGGTCAGAGACATAAAGAACAAGTTTGTTCTGTCTGGGGAGAAGAAGAGGAAGGCTCCTGCACCGAGGGGGCCTTCCAAGAAGAAGCAAAAGTGAATTTTTTCGAGGTACCGGTTGGTTGAAAATGCTCCATGATTCCATGTACAACATTGTTTTGCAAAGGGCAGTATCAATTATCTATCTTCTTCTACTTATTCCGTTATTTTTTTATAATGTTCAGTGGATTTTCTAATAAATGTATTATTTGTGTGAATAATTACCAATTATGGCACCCTTATGTTTAATTCCAAAATGGATTCCAATATGGTCAAAATAGTGACGAAATTCACGTTTGATATTTTGATTAGTGCATAATGGCTGATTCAAGTTCACATTTCCAGAGTGATATCGAGGAAGCAGCACAAAATGTACTATTTTCTTGGTCCAATCATATTTTATTACATAACTGGTGTTGAAATAAACATGTCATAACCATTCCAGCAAACACAGTTACATCACAGAGAAATTTTTAATTCAAAAAGGCATATTCTAGCTCAAGATATTCATTATTTTCGTATGCACTCTGAATTTTGAAACTTTAATATCATATTTTCGACTCATCCTGTGACGTAAGGCGGACAGTAGTACTTGCGTCAATCGCGTCATCTAAAGTGAGCAGTGAAATCATCTTGTTAATCTGTGATCTAGTACATTGTCCATGAATCACGAACGTAGACTGGTAAGTGGTATTGGTTGGCAACACTGTATGGTATATGCAGAAACTCCAGAAAGCTGCAGAAACAGAAATGCAGAATGCAGATTAGCACAGAACACTAATGTTACTCCTCTTATCACTAATGAAAAACTATTTACGAATAAACAATTATCAGTGATTAGATTTCTGCGCGGCACCAGGAAAAATTATGAACTTGGGGAAGCCAGAATTCAATTCAGGTGATTTCTAGATTTCTTTGGTATATGTGATCTTTTACACAGAATCATGTTTCAGATTGGAATGAACATAATGAAATGATTGGTGAAGTTGATGATACCTATGAAACTGAGGAGCCTAAACAAGAATGGAGGCATTCCCTTGAAAGGGCACATTATTATAAAATAGTGAAATTCTGTGTGAATGATTTACAGGAATCATTGAAGCAGGATGACCACTTCCTTGTTAGAAAAACTCCGTTTGTGTATGTTCACATATGTGGGACAATTTTATCAAAAAATGTTAGCAAATCAAAGGTTTTCATGGAAGGTAATTATACCTATTTGGGCCATTTTCACACTTGGATTGCATTTAATTGCCCTCTTCAGTTAATGATGGCACAGGTTCCATTGAATGTTCACTAGAAGATAATTATTTCAATTTATCTGGATCAATAAGTGATAGAAATAATATGCAGGATCATCTTCAAAAACAGTCTGAGAACAATATTGTTTTGCAAGGTGTTATGGTACTTTACTCTGCTCTGAGGAATTTAGACAAAGTTATTCCTAAAGATGAGCAGGATTTAAAAATTGGTGATTTGGTAGGTATAATTAAATAATATTGAAATTAGTATTAGATTCATTAAAACATTCTCTCATCACCTCATTCATTCAATTTCAGGTGTCCCTTGAAGGAAAGCTGTCTAAACACAATGGAGTATTTCACGTATTTGTTGAAAAAGTCATCAGAAGGAATGTTAGTGATTTTATTGAGCATCTGGTACGTCAGAAATTATTTTATCAAAATCTATTTGAGGCAGATCAGAGCGGATCAGATGCTGCTCAAATAATCTGAACATGAAAAAATTGCAGGAAAGTACAAGGATGTAGGATGTATTACAATAACAAAATATACTGCTTCAATAAAAAGCCATTTTTCGGTTTTGCCATTTCTTCCATTCCTACACATAAAAGCGAAAAGCCCTTAAAAGTTTAAAAGGTTATCTTCTTTTTTTATTTGTTTAAGTACCTAAGCTGACAGCTTTGGCTATCCGGTGAAAAAAGACAAATGACGATACTGGCTATACGTTCTACACTGATGCCACTCCTTAGGCGATGAGCTTATGGTGAGGAGATTGATAAAAAAAGAAGATAGTTGATAATCATATAACCTAAAATCTGATCTGTAGATAAAAATCTTCAAAACATCTACAAAAATGGTCAAAAAACGTCTACGAACTTCTCGAAAACAAAGCGATAGCGATGAAATAGATTCCGAAAGTGACTTCGGAGATGATCCCCCTTATGATCCCACACCTAAAAAATACAGTCTGCGACAAAGGAATAAGCGGACTACGTTCACTGATGCAGATTTCCAGTATGATGATGAAGAGCTACCCCACGAATTATCCTCGGAGTTACCACCGAACATATCACCAAAACCTCCTTCGGATGATGAAGATTTTGAAGTTGAGAAAGAATTAGATTTAGATGAGGCACCTGAGAGTGAGTTTATAGACCCTTCCACTTATATCAATAGCATAGAGCCTGAAAACACTGAGGTGCCACTAGACACTGATGAACTGGTGGATTTTGAGGACATGATAAGGGCGGATATTGTAGTCAACAAGAATAGAATTGACTATGACAATGTGATACAAAAAACTGAGATAAAAGTGCAGCCTTTGACTGAGTCTGAGAGAATGGCAATGTCAAAGAAAAAAACAAAGCCTATCAAGAAAATGAGAAAACCAAAACGCCGCAACAGTGACATGGATGAAGGTCACTTCTTAGCACCCTTGATACAAGAAGAGGGTGATGAAGACTATCATCCCTATAAGCCAAAAAGAGAACGCAAACAAAAAAAACGTGCTGATGGTGAAATAGATAGTAGTCTGTTAGAACCAGAAATGGAAGTACAAGAAGAGGAATATGAAGATAAGGATGATGAAGATTATAATCCAGATGATGACTTGGAATATCCTGAAATTCCATTCCTGAATGCATCTCTGATTGAAACAAAAAGTTTTGGTGATGTAGAGACGAATTTTCAAGATGAAAATTCTTATCAAACTCCTGTTAATGAATCACCAGTGCATGCTGCATTAACTGTTGATAGTACTAGTACTGAATCTTCAACAATAAAAGCCCCCAATTCTCCACTGAACACTAATATTCAAAAAACTATTGAAGAAATGGGACCCTCAGAATGTCAAAATGATGATAAAACAATAGAAGAAATCATCACAACTAATAATGAAAGCAATATTTGCCAAGAAACAGTTTCCCACCAAGATTCTACTGAAAAGACAAATGATATCCTTGAGAGTTCAATTTCTGTGAATGGTACAGTGAGTCAGTTGGAGAATCCTGAGGTTCATTTTGTACATAAATTGGAGGAGGAAGAAGCAGATGATGATGTTGTTCTCATAGATGATTCAAAAGATGATATTATTGTTTTAGATGACTAATAAGCCTTTGGCTAGGTTGGTTCTTGTTGTGAATATTTTGTATGTGAATGTTATGGAATTGAAATTCAAACAGTTGTTCTCCAAAAATAACTGATTGGTTTCATCTTGGGGCCCCTAAAGAGTACCCACTGTATAGTTTGTGATAAAAAATGTATCTTATATTTAGATAATCAAGGGAAATAATTATAATTTTCAATGCCTATAAATCTAATTCATATAGGTAGGTATATCAAAAATTCTGAACTTATTTTTTTTCCTTAAGCATGTAAAAAATTATGTATAGTATAATATGTATCATTTCTTAATAAAAATATGATTAAATCTTCTTCAGTTCAGGTTCGAAATGAAAAAAACAATATCGCTATTCCATTGGGAATGTACCAGTTCACATTCTGGAGAAAATCCCTGAACTATAACCCTTATAGCTCAGGGAAGAAAATCAACGCAGTGCAAGTGCAAAACTAGTGTACCGTATGTACTATTTCTATCCACCAGTTTTATGAATGGACAATGACAGCTAAATATCTAAACTGTCCGACAGTCTAGATATTTATTCAAACACTCTAAGAGGTTTATGTTATTATGTTTTGGTTCAGTGGTCAGTGAATCATATCATAAAACAAACCTTATTTCCATCTTATCCTTAGAACATCCTGTGTGATCTAAGGTTTTATCTTGGTTATTTTTGAATTGGCATGTGTCATCCACCAAATTGACAGATCTGAGATCTCACCATTGAGAACTTGGCAGCTCAAGCCTCTGCAGTTGTATTTTCCGATTTTGATTTTACAGGAATAACCAGCAGTGGCGTACCCACTACCCAGTTGAGTGGTCAAAGTGTTCAAGTATCTTCAATTCTCTAGACTCCCTTGATGGAAATTGACGTTGAAGTCATCTTAACAGGGTACGGACAGATCCTCGTCTCCTCTCACTCTTTAGTGTTTGAGCATATGAAAACCTAGTAGGCGACCTAGTGCTAGGAGGTATAATACTCCTGTCTACTAACTACCGAACTAGGTTGTCATCATAGCTAAACTACAGTAGTTTGTTTATGGTTACAATCATAGTGTTACAATGGTTTGAGAAACAGTTATATAGTTCCATCCTCTGGGGACAAACACTAGATTTTTGACATTTGTTGTTTTTTAGGTTGTATTGAGGTCATTGGCGTATCATACGTAACTTGGAATGTCCAGTTGATGTGTCTTCTGAGGAGATGATGTCATGAGGCATGATATTGTTTGGAAATGTTGAACTTTCACGATGTTTTTCCAAAATATCGAGTCTTGCTTCCAACAAATCATATTTTTCATTATTTTCATCAAATTTTACGATCAGAATTTCGTACAATACTTCAAGTCTATCGATCTTCTTCTTAAAAATAGTATTCAAAACATCATTTGGTATGATTCTTGATGAATTCTCTGAAAGAATGCTTCTGTAGTCGGCTTCGGGGTTACCAAATTGTGGATATAATTGATGCAAATTATAAGACTAAGTTAAGTCGTAATTATATTATAAAAATGTCACATCAATGTCAGACTATCAAATCATAATATACCAAGTATATAACATAACTAGTCACCATAAGTATACTCTGGTCAGTTCACTTTGTGAATCTTCTGTTCGTTTCGTATGGACTGGATGGTTTTCTCCGATTGAGTAGCAAGTATCAAAAACTGTTTCTCTGATCTGCAACAGAACATCACATATCAATCGAAGTACATTCAGAAAATAAATATCATTCGCTGAATTACATGGCTGTTGAATCCGAGACATACCTGAATAATATATTCAACGTCCGTAACTGGATTGCTATACATATCCGCTTTCTTTCCGAATAGTGTTTTTTCCATCAGAAGGCATCTTCCACATTTTCAATTACGTAGGTGGGTTTTATATTAAAGATCTTGAAGGCCAAACGATGTGCTGCTCGGATCTAAAACTGAGGATCAATTTACAATTTGAATCGTAACACCTACATGGAATATTGAATATTATTTTCAATATTCGTAACTGGAACGCGATATATTTTTGTAATTCATCAGCTATCTCAATGACGACGAGACAGGCAGATAAACAACAATTTTCTCTGCAATGAAGAACACTGTATATACCTAACCCACCATGCGCCTACCTCCTTTGCAGAGAGGGTTTATAAACGCCGAGTTGATACTCTCCCCTCGTAAGGGTACCTGTCGTGTTTCCATAGAGACATAGAGCTGAATATCTGTCTATCTGTCTGCTTGAGAATCTGGAAAGGTAATCAATATATCGCCTTCCGTACAAATATAATGATCTGAATTCTGTAAAGTATACTCTCTGGTCAGTTCTCTTTGCAGATCATCTGTTCGGTCCGTATTTACTGAATGGTTTTCTCCGATTGAGTGGCAAGTATCAAACACTGCTTCTTGGATCTGCAACTAAACATCACATTTAAATCGAAGTACATTTGAATCAGAAAATATTATTACAGGAAATACATAGATGTTGAATCTGCGACATACCTGAATGATATTTTCATCGTCCGTAACTGGATTGCTACATATCCGCTTCCTTTCCGTATAGTGGTTCTTCTAGTAGGCATCTTCCACATGTTCAATTACGAGGGATATATTAAAGATCTTGAAGGCCAAACAATGTGCTGCTCAGATCTAAAACTAAGTATCAATTTCAAATTTGAATTGTGAGACCTACATACAACATTCATAACTGGAACGCGATATATTTTTGTAATTCATCAATTAATTCATCAACTATCTCAATGAAGACGAGACAGGCAGATAAACAACAATTTTCTCTGCAATGAAGAACACTGTATATACCTAACCCACCATGCGCCTACCTCCTTTGCAGAGAGGGTTTATAAACGCCGAGTTGATACTCTCCCCTCGTAAGGGTACCTGTCGTGTTTCCATAGAGACATAGAGCTGAATATCTGTCTATCTGCCTGCTTGAGAATCTGGAAAGGTAGGTAATCAATATATCGCCTTCCGTACGAATATAATGATCTGAATTCTGTAAAGTATACTCTCTGGTCCGTTTCTTTGCGGATCTTCTGTTCGGTCCGTATTTACTGAATGGTTTTCTCCGATTGAGTGGCAAGTATCAAACACTGCTTCTTGTATCTGCAACTAAACATCACATTTGAATCGAAGTACATTTGAATCGAAATACATTTGAATCAGAAAATATCATTAGAGGAAATACATAGATGTTGAATCTGCGACATACCTGAATGATATTTTCATCGTCCGTAACTGGATTGCTACATATCCGCTTCCTTTCCGTATAGTGGTTTTCCCAGTAGGCATCCTCCACATGTTCAATTACGAGGGTTATATCAATGACCTTGAAGGCCAAACAATGTGCTGCTCAGATCTGAAACTAAGGTATCAATTTCAAATTTGAATCGTGAGACCTACATAGAATATGAATCTATGAAAAGTCTGGATATTGTTTTCAACATTCATAACTGGAACGCGATATATTTTTGTAATTCATCAACTATCTCAATGAAGACGAAGCAGGCAGATAAACAACAATTTTCTCTGCAATGGAGAACGCTGTATATACCTAACCCACCATGCGCCTACCTCCTTTGCAGAGAGGGTTTATAAACGCCGAGTTGATACTCTCCCCTCGTAAGGGTACCTGTCGTGTTTCCATAGAGACATAAAGCTGAATATCTGTCTATCTGTCTGCTTGAGAATCTGGAAAGGTAGGTAATCAATATATCGCCTTCCGTACGAATATAATGCTCTGAATTCTGTAAAGTATACTCTCTGGTCAGTTCTCTCTGCGGATCTTCTGTTCGGTCCGTATTTACTGAATGGTTTTCTCCGATTGAGTGGCAAGTATCAAAGACTACTTCTTGGATCTGCAACTAAACATCACAATTGAATCGAAGTACATTTGAATCAGAAAATTAATATCATCTGATGAAGTACATGGATGTTGAATCTGAGACATACCTGAATAATATTTTCATCGTCCGTAACTGGATTGCTACATATCCGCTTCCTTTCCGTATAGTGGTTTTCCCAGTAGGCATCCTCCACATGTTCAATTACGAGGGTTATATCAATGACCTTGAAGGCCAAACAATGTGCTGCTCAGATCTAAAACTAAGGTATCAATTTCAAATTTGAATCGTGAGACCTACATAGAATATGAATCTATGAAAAGTCTGTATATTGTTTTCAACATTCATAACTGGAACGCGATATATTTTTGTAATTCATCAACTATCTCAATGAAGACGAGGCAGGCAGATAAACAACAATTTTCTCTGCAATGAAGAACGCTGTATATACCTAACCCACCATGCGCCTACCTCCTTTGCAGAGAGGGTTTATAAACGCCGAGTTGATACTCTCCCCTCGTAAGGGTACCTGTCGTGTTTCCATAGAGACATAAAGCTGAATATCTGTCTATCTGTCTGCTTGAGAATCTGGAAAGGTAGGTAATCAATATATCGCCTTCCGTACGAATATAATGCTCCGAATTCTGTAAAGTATACTCTCTGGTCAGTTCTCTCTGCGGATCTTCTGTTCGGTCCGTATTTACTGAATGGTTTTCTCCGATTGAGTGGCAAGTATCAAATACTACTTCTTGGATCTGCAACTAAACATCACAATTGAATCGAAGTACATTTGAATCAGAAAATTAATATCATCTGATGAAGTACATGGATGTTGAATCTGAGACATACCTGAATGATATTTTCATCGTCCGTAACTGGATTGCTACATATCCGCTTCCTTTCCGTATAATGGTTTTTCCAGTAGGCATCTTCGACATGTTCAATTACGAGGGATATATTAAGGACCTTGAAGGCCAAACAATGTGCAGCTCAGATCTGAAACAAAGTAACAATTTCAAATTTGAATCGTGTGACCTACATAGAATATGAATCAATGGAAAGTCTGGATATTATTTTCAATATTCATAACTGGAACGCGATATATTTTTGTAATTCATCAATTCATTATCTCAATGAAGACGAGACAGGCAGATGCACAATATTTCTAGAAAATATTCTTTTAGTTAAATATTCACCAGTACACTTTATTTATTTCAATTTCTACTTCTTTTCAGTTCGGCAATTCATAAAAGAGTGTTTCTTTAGTTTTTCAAGATACTATTCATTTTATACTCGTTTTCAGCTCGGCAATCTCTTCAGTTTTTTAAACTACTATTTATGTTCTACTACTTCAATTCGACTCAGTATCTACGAACGCGTGTTCAATTGATTTCTCAAACAACTATTTATTACAAAGCTCGTTCGCCATATTGGATCCGCCATCTTGAATTTCCCAATTTTGACAAAGAATCATACAGTTCGACCCCGAAAACCCCCAGATACCAAACTTTAATAGAATCAGATCATAATTACAAATGTCTATCGCCATTTTCGATCCGTCATCCTGAATTTTACAATTTTCATGAAACAATCATTATCTCCTACCCTGAAAACCCCCAGATAACAATTTTGAATAGAATCGGATCATAATTACAATGATATGTATATGATCTTCCTCAACAAGTAAATACCCTGTACATATACCTATTATTAAAATTTTGAATGATTTTCTGTAGCGCCCATGGACGTGACGTGACAGCAATGTCAGGGATACCAGTAGACAAAACTAAAGTCTCTAGATCATTAAAAAAGAATGCAGCTATGATCTGTCCGAACCTGACATTTATGTCAATTTCCATCAAGGGATCAGTTTGGGCAGTTTGCAATGTTTTGTTTGCATACTTCACATTTGCTGACTTTACATTTGCATACTTTTTCATTGTTTATTTATTGTTGTAATATGTTGTAATCACTGAGAACGAACATGCATAGATTCAAAATTGAAAAATGGAAGTGTAAACAAGAAAGACGGGATTCTCCGAGGGATTCTCTATAGTTGCATATTATTATGAATATTAGAAGAAAGAGTCAAATAATGATATTTGAATTTTTTAATCTCTTTCAATTTTAAAAATGTCCTGTGAGAAGTGCCAGAAGAATTTCAAGACACTGCGTCTCCTAAAACAACATGAAAGAACCCACAATACTATTTGTGAAAAATGCAATATTACTTTCAAGAGTCACAATCATCTGAAGCAACACACAAGAGATCATCATCCAAAGGTAATGAGAGCTCAAGCCTTGATATATTTTGACCACACAGTAATATACTTATTTCCTTTCAGATGAAGGACTTCAAATGCAGAGTTTGTCCAGATTCTGTTTTTGTCTCAGAAAAAGAATACCTTCTACATGTGAGAGATTATCATGAAGGAAAAATCATTGAGTCCCATATGTGTAGTGATTGTGGCAAAACATTTCGCACTGGGTCTGAACTCAGTTTACACATGAAATCTAAATGTGGTACTGAGAAGCAGTATATCTGCAAGGTTAGTTTGGGACACAGATCATTCATTGTAAATTCCTTGTCTCACATAATATGTTTTCTAGGAATGTGGAAAAAAGATGATGTCTCCAGGTTCCCTGTACACACATTTAAAAAGGCACAAAGGGAATTTGAATTTTATGTGTAGATTTTGTGCCAAACGTTTCCTTACATCAGGGCAACTGAAAGTGCATGAGAGGAAACACACAAAACAGAAAGATTTTGTGTGTGATGTAAGTTATTTACATTATTATTTTGAACAGTGAGTGATTCAAGATTGATTTGATATCTCTATCAGTATTTCCACAGTATACAACCTTTTCTGTAAGGTTGTATGCTGTGGTATTTCTCATTGAAAGCAGATAATTTTTTCTTTAGATTTGCAGTAAGGGATTTTGCCACCGCCAAAGCTTGATTACCCACATTTCTGTCCATACTGGTATCAAACCATACCAATGTGAAGGTTGTGGAAAATCATTCAGTTGCATAAGCAATCTCTTGAAACACAGAAAATCACATAAAACCACTTGTGGGACTCTTCCAATGACATCACACAGGGTGAAAAATCCTGCCACAAAAATAAAATTGAGAATTAACACTCCAGAATCTTCAAAGTTGAAAAGGGCACAGATGAAGAAAGAGTTGGAAATGAAGTTTGCTGAGTTAGATGAAGAAATTAAAGAGGAGGATATTGAGAATACTGTATTAGAGAAAAGTGAGGCTGATGATAAAAATCCTGTGAAAGAAGAAGTACAAGCTGTGAGTTCCTAAATATTGATTATTGATTTTATTTTTCAAATTGTCTTACTTTAACTTTTCACTGCACATTATGGAAGTGATTTTTATTCTTTTTTTTTCTTCTATTAGATGTCATGTGGAACTAAAAAATCAATACCAGAAGAGACAGATCTCATTGAAGCAAAAAATGAACCTATTGATACTAATTTTGATGAAGACAGAATTAATAATATTGAGGTGAGTAAGAATTTACCTCAGAAATAATTGTGTTGATTAATTAATGAATAGTTGATAAATTGCATGCTTTTGACTTCATTATGGTAAAATTTGAAAATTGTAGCACTAATATGTGAGATCAATGGTGAAAATTCAATTGATTGATACTGAGACATTCCAGGAAAATAAATTTGGAACTGAAACTGAAGAAAATAATCTCAGTGTGGACAAGAATCCTCATGAAATTGAGGAGACATTGAGGATACATAGCAAAGAAACTAAACCTGAGCAATATTCACCTAAAAAAACAACAAGGAAAAAGAATCCACACCAGATACAAAATGAGGTGTTTTCTGGTGATATTAAAAAATGTGATCTTAATAATGGCAATTTTGATGTGGAAGATTTTGATATGCCAGATGAAATAGAATCTGACATATCAGAAATTGAGTCTGAAGAGGAATACAAGCCTAATATACGAAAAAGAAAGGGAAAACCTAGACAAAAAAAGAGGAGAGATCAGTTTCTGGATAGTGATATTCAGAAATTCATTAGAGAAAGGAATCTTGGTATGTTTAATCACTATCAACACATAGCATTTTTTGGAGGTGGATGTTTTCAGATAATTGAACTTTTTTATGTTCATTCTTGTGTGATTCAAGGAAAAGTTTGTTTTTATTTTTCTGCTATTAATTCAGGTTGGAGAGTTATTGACTATCATTTTTGAAACACCCTGTATATAACTACACATTTGGAACAAAGTATACACAAAAATTCTTTGTTTTTTCCTCGGTTTTTTCATCATTAGTTCAGATTTCAAATTTGATTTCACATTCATGAAAAATAACAGTATGAAAGAGTTGCAATTTTTTTTTTTTGTAGTGAAAGGTGTGATGGGACATTGCCAATACTGCTCCAAGGGGTACACCAGCTTTGGTTGTTTGTATAAACATGAACAAGAACATTCCAACAGTCAAAACAGCTCTAAAGAGTCAAAAACAGCATCTCACAAGTGCAGTTGTTGTAGGATGGTTTTTGAGACATCAGAAGAAGTCAAAAATCACCAGCATGCTAATCATGCAGATATACTATGTAGGATTTTTTTTCATGGAATCAAATATTATCAACACCATATTCAGGTTTCTTCTATACTGATATTAGGAAAGCCAAAATGGTTTTTCTGAAATTAAACAGTGACATAATATAGGAAAAACATATATTTTGAAAAATCAATCTCAAGTCACTAGAGGCACTTGTTGGAGGGGTCTCGGGTGCCATATTGATTATGTGGTGGTTTTCTCCACCTGCTCTGCACAAAGCTATTTTTGTACAGAGGCCCAAAGTAGCGGCTGACATCTTTGATATGGGTATTGAATTTTTCATATTCAATAATGACACTGTATTTCCACAGACCTTCAAAGTTTTTCCATACCATTCATGAGACTAACTTCATTTGTGTTTTTGAGACCTTGAAATGGTGCCGAACATTTTTGTGGTGATCAAAAATTGAAAATAAAAATTGATCCACTAGCATTGTAAGCAAACTGAGATTGGTTCATGGAGTTTGCTGGTCCTAAACAGTAAAATTTTAGAAATCTTGTTTCAAAATTTATTTCAAAGGTAAAACTGCATTTAGCATGCCATGGGTTTTTTTCGAAAATTTTTCTGGTACTCATGTATTTTTGTCTGAAAAACACGAATTTGATGATGAAAATGTGAACAAACCATTAGAGAGGGAGAGAGAGAACATCTTTATTAGGGATATACCCCAAAAGGCCATTGACCGAAGTCTTTCAGCCCAGTTTACAATTATAATATATAAAGTATGAATATTAATAATAATAGTACTAATAGTTTAATGAGAAAAAAAAAAAGTTGATTGCTAATTGCTTTCTTGCTATCCTGTTTGCTGGATCTGGATCAGTCCTTGAAAAATGGTTATTTCTGGAAATTTTCTTTTTCTTGTGTAGTTTTCCGGCATCCCAAACAAACCATTATTTATTAAGATATTTCACTATTACAGTTACAAATTTCACCTTCTTTTCCGCCTGTCTTCTGGATTGAATTTAAAACAATTTACTCTTCTTTTTTCATCATTGGACAATTTATATATATCACAATGTAAGACACATTTTTTTTCTATTATTGAGTCAACTAGAAATATGATTTTCTTGTGATTTATCCATATTTAGTGAAAAAAAGGAAGAATATCATTTAAAATAATGGCGTGTGTAATGTCATTCAGAAGCATTCTGTTGACATTTGATATCTCGTATTTGGATTGACTATTAATTAAATGGCCGTCATCTGGTATGCTTGTTCACTGAGGCTATATTCCGAATTCAACTGACAGCACTGAATCTGCTGAATTTTCATTCCGAAATCAAAAAAATTGACTGAAAGTGACAGATACTCGTGAGCAGATATACTATTCATTCCAAATATTTCGACTCGACATTCTGCTGGAATAGCTGACTATCAAAAGGTAGTGTGGCTTCAGTGAACTGTCATTATTTTTGAGGGGAACGGAATGACACATGCATTTCCGTTGTTTTTCAAACATTAAGTCTTGGCTTATCAATAATACATTAATAATATCATTTTGATATCAGAAAATGCCTGTTATTTATTTAGCTCAAACAGGAGCATCTGCCAGATCAATGACAACTTACGTGTTCCGAATTACAGCACTGTATTTTTGATTTTATATTTCGGAACACAGCTTTTCAGCAGAGTCAGTGGATCTACTGACAGTACTGACCAGTTGAATTCGTTTCATCCTCGCCAAAAAACTTGTATCCCTAACTTTGATATATTGGTTAACGACTCAAACATAACTAGAAATGAAAATGTGAAATTTCTGGGTGTATTATTTGATTCAGATTTGTCCTTTAAAAAAAAACACTGTTTAAATCTATCCAAGATGTTGAACTCCAAATGTTTTCAAATTAGAAATTTAAGAAAAACACCCAATATAAATCACATTCGTTCACTTTACTTTAGTGAAATACAGTCTAGGATCAGTTATGGAATTGGTATTTGGGGGAGCTCTCCTCATGCTAAAAGTGTTTTTATGTCACAGAAAAGAATTTTAAGATGTATTTCAAACATCTCATTTGTAGATTCCTGTCGACCTGTTTTTATCATCTTGAGAATTTTAACTATTTATGGCATTTATATATTGGAATTAATCACATCAGTTCATAGAAATAAAAACGATTATTTACGAAATAGATATTCATGCTCATGACACAAATCAGACTTCTCTATACCTTACCAGCGAATAGAAATCTGTAAGAAATCACCTAGAGTAATGGGAATCAAACTATACAACAGTCTTCCACAATGTTTTAAAGATATTGCCTTGGTGCATAAATTTAAAGAGAAAACTAAAAATTATCTCATTGACATATGTGTCCATACTCGGTTGAAGAATATTTTGAAAATAATCGTTGAATTATCTGTTCTAGTTTTGTATTATGTGATTGTATATTGTATTTATTGACCTATATTACTGGTCAATTTTAGTATTTTAAGGTAAATGCTCTAGTTTCGGCTAGACTTTTCAATTTTAATCTGTTCTTTTTGACCTGTCTTATGTCATTATTTGATATTATGAGATCAATAAATTCTATTCTATTCTATGAACTGATGGTGAGCCATTTATCATCAGTTTGGCAGGCTAATTTCGGGACATCCTGTATGAATGAAAATAATGATGATGACGATTTCCAGCGTGCCCCGAATGCCCGGACAGGATCTTTTCGCGTCCCGACTACCTCAAACTCCACCGCGACAACTACCACAAGGGCGTGCCCCGCAAGCACTATGTCTACATATGCGACAAGTGCGGCAAAAAGTTCCGCGCCAAATGTCTCCTCACCCATCACGAGACCACCGATTGCGGCAAAAGCAACAAGGTATGTGTATTGTTACTATAAAAACGAAACGATTTATACAAACACTAATACAGTCTTGGGCGAGTGGACTGATAAAAGAGGATGATGTCGCCTTTGCGAGTATCCAAACGTGCCGCGATTCAAACTGATATAAGTTGGTGGCAGAGCGTCAATACTTCCGAGAATATTTCGCCCCCTAAACATAATATCCGATGGACCAGTTTAAAACTCATGTGGTGATTATACACTACAAGTATTCTAATCCACATGTTGAATTGTATCAACTCTGAACAGATTAGCAAATATTTTAGCAACATGTATTAATATCCACATAGTTCCTATGTATATACAGGATGTTCCTTAATGACATGCTAATATTCAAGGGGGCGATTCTTGGACCCATTTCAAGAAAATCCGTCCTAACTATTGAGATACAGGGTTGAAAATATGCATGGATTATTTTTTGTTCACCCTGTATAGCTTTTCGTGATGAGAAAATTCAGTCTGCTATGTGACTGAAAAGGTGCAAAAATTTCAAAATATTACATGCTGTAGTTATCCAGAAATTGATGTCCTGAATGGAGTACTCAGTTTAGCAATTACATCAAAATTGTCTTGTTTTTCCATTTTTCCTGAAAACGGAGCGTTCTATCGAGTATCAACAAAAGGATCTTTGTACAGAATTGAATGGCCTTTCATAGGACTGTATGAAATTTGGAAATTTTCCTTCGTTGCTCACTTTTCAGTGAAATTTAAACAATAGTATCCCCCAATCGGCGCCACTGGTAGAGAAAATGGAAATTTGTGTGCATGAGAAAATGCACCTTGATGCATAAAAGACATGTATCAAATTTGGTAAAAATATCTACAATATTATCTCAGTTATTATTTAAAAACTGATATTTTTTCAAAACTTCATCGCCCTGTATCTCAAAATGTAGACTTTTAAGATATACGTTCATGGAAAGTTTTTATCTTTAAATGAGTCAAAAAATCACCCCCTTAAATATTAGCATGTCTTTAAGGAACACCCTGTATAGGTATAAAAAGCGAATTTCAAATGTTTTCATTGTTATATGGAAACTTACCGGAGCTAAATACTAGCCATTTGATGAACACTTCTATATTGATATACGAAAACACACACCATCTTGAAAAATACCACTTTCACACACTCAAATGAAATACATTCACCAAACCGAACATTTTTCACTTTTGAATAATTCGAGTTATTTTTTTATATCACCTGAGTCGACCGTACCCGATGAAATCTAGAACGAGACTGTCGATTGGTTTGATTCATCATTGTGATGACTAATCAGTTACGTCATCCCTTTAACCGATTAATTTCCAAACAAGTACGATTAATACTGATATTGATAGTAGGTGTATGGGGTGGGGTGAAAAGAAATTTAATATACAGTGTCCTCGTTGAAGTCGGCATCTTGTGATTTTTTTTTTCATTATTATTATTTAGTTTGTGCAAATTAGGATTTCATGAATAGTTCTTATTCTGGAAATGATGCAAAATGAGGTTCATGATTTTTCTATCGAAGATAGCTGTCGAATCAGATATTTTCTGGCAGGAAACACAAACCAAAAAATTGTATCTTCCGATTCCTGATTCATATCGATCCTCGATATAACTTTTTCATCAATCTAATTCTTAAGGAATATCTTCCAGGAAGGACGGTTTTTCATCAAATTATCTAACTTAACCTGTTTTGAAATATTAATTCTCCAGGAACATTTTTATAGGGATAATTTTTAATGGGGGATTTTTTCCAGAGGAATCATTCCACAATGGATGGACAGTATTTCCTGGAGGTTTTTTGCTGAGTGATATTTTCAAAGAGGATTTGTGGCTGATGCCCACCCTGTGTAAATCATTTATCGACACAATTTTATCGGTTTTTATTTTGGAAGTATTGCGAAATGGTGTCGACTTCTTCTGTTTCATCGACACCTGTCAATACAGGGTGTTTCAAATTGCAATTTCAGCATGTCTTGGAAATTGAAATTTATTTGAAATTTTTGAATGATTTGTGTTATCTCTCAACAGAATGGCAAGTATTTTGGCAACTTGTTGCATAAATATCCACCTAGTTTCAGCTGTATATATAGGTATAGAAAGCGAATTCCAAATGTTTTCATCGTTATATGGAATTTACCGAACCAAAATGTTCGGTGATCAGTTTAGGTGCAATTAGAATGGTTGCAAGTCCAACAGCCTACAGGGTAGGTCAAAAATATAAAAATTGTTCAAGAGTAAAGAACCCTTATTTCAGAAAATTCAGCAAAATGTTATTTAGAAAAGTTGTTGACAATTGAAAGTTATGCCTGAATACCAAAACATGGCCACCTAAGACATTTTTTAGTTTTTCAATTCAGTTCGTTAATAATTTCCCAATTTGTAATATTTTAAATACAAAATGTTCACATTAAATGAATGTTTTCGAATATGCATATTATCATTAATGATGTTAAAAATATGGTTTGCGAAATTTTAAAGTTAAGCTGAATATCGTTGCAACAAACATAAAGTTTGTGATGCCCTAAAAAAATTAAAATCCAAGTTAATTGCACAAATAAGCTTGAATTTGAACAAAGGTATGCTCAACTGATTTTGTTATGATTAACTTATGAAAGTATTTAGGCTGAATATAAAAAAATATATACAAATTGGGCAATTATTCACGAACAAAATTGAAAAACTAAAAAATGTTTTGCTGAATTTTCTGAAATAAGGGTACTTAACACTTGAGCAATTTTTATATTTTTTGACCTACCCTGTATGATGTGTGACTTGCAACCATTCTAAGTGCACCTAAGATGATTACCGAATATGCACCAACTTTCGGCACTATCTGTATTTTGGTTGTGCAATTCATTAAAAAGATTCGAATATGTTGCACTCTTATATGATCACACTGTATAGGTATAGAAAGCGAATATCAAATGTTTTTATTGTTATATGGAAACTTACCGGAGCAAAATACTAGCCATATGATGAACACTTCTATATTGATATACGAAAACACACACCATCTTGAAAAACACCACTTTCACACACTCAAATGAAATACATTCACCAAACCGAACATTTTTCACTTTTGAATAATTCGAGTTATTTTTTTATATCACCTGAGTCGACCGTACCCGATGAAATCTAGAACGAGACTGTCGATTGGTTTGATTCATCATTGTGATGACTAATCAGTTACGTCATACCTTCAACCGATTAATTCCCGAACAAGTACGACTAATACTGATATTGATAGTAGGTGTATGGGGTGGGGTGAAAAGAAATTTAATATACAGTGTCCTCGTTGAAGTCGGCATCTTGTGATTTTTTTTTCAATATTATTATTTAGTTTGTGCAAATTAGGATTTCATGAATAGTTCTTATTCTGGAAATGATGCAAAATAAGGTTTATGATTTTTCTATCGAAGATAGCTGTCGAATCAGATATTTTCTGGCAGGAAACACAAACCCAAAAATTGTATCTTCTGAATATCAACGATTTTGTAGTGGCACATTAATTCTCTATAAGCTGAAAAAATATTACTATTGAAAATTCCTGATTCATATCGATCCTCGATATAACTTTTTCATCAATTTAATTCTCAAGGAATATCTTCCAGGAATGCCTGTTTTTCATCAAATTACTTAACTTAACCTGTTTTGAAATATTAATTCTCCAGGAACATTATTATAGGGATAATTTTTAATGGGGGATTTTTTCCAGAGGAATCATTCCACATTGGATGGACAGTATTTCCTGGAGGTTTTTTCCTGAGTGATATTTTCAAAGAGGATTTGTGGCTGATGCCCACCCTGTGTAAATGAGATTAATATTTCAATAATAATAGTAAATCAAAATCAAAAAATCTACTTATTTCAATCATTTATAGACACAATTTTATCGGTTTTTATTTTGGAAGTATTGCGAAATGGTGTCGACTTCTTCTGTTTCATCGACACCTGTCAATACAGGGTGTTTCAAATTGCAATATCAGCATGTCCTGGAAATTGAAATTTATTTATTCTTGAATGATTTGTGTTAACTCTCAACAGAATGGCAAGTATTTTGGCAACTTGTTGCATAAATATCCACCTAGTTTCAGTTGTATATATAGGTATAGAAAGCGAATTCCAAATGTTTCCATCGTTATATGGAATTTACCGAACCAAAATACTAGCCATGTGGTGAATACTTCCATATGTATACAGTGTGGTCATTTAAGTGTGCAACATATGGGAATCTTTTTTCTGAATTGCACAACCAAAGTATAGATAGTGCCGAAAGTTGGTGAAAGTTCGGTGATCAAAAATTTCATTTTTCGAATATCAACGATTTCAAATTGGCACAAATTAATCATTAGCTGAAAGAAAATAACTATTTTATATTCCAAAATTCATAATGTTGACGCAAGATTAAAAAATGATTCTTGTATTTGTTACTTGTTGTTTTCAATTTGAAAAAGAATGTTACATTTTGCAACTTGCTATATGAATAACTATCAGTACCTACATTCTTGTTGATAGCTTGAATTACGATACGATGTGTTGTCCTAATATATTGACAATTATGGCATACAAACAATATTGTTCATAGAAATCGATCAAACTTCGATTCATTTCGTGATATACCAATTTTCGTATAGTCTTGTATACCAACAACTCTCTACAATATGGTGTGTTTTGCAACTGTTTCCAATACATATTTTCAGTACCTCTGTATATGTTAACAATGTGAATTATTTCATCCTAAAAAAATACGAAATTACAAAGAATGGGAAATATTTTCGCAACATGTCGCAATAATATCTATCTAGTTCCTCTGTATATATAGGTATATAAAGCGAATTTCAAATGTTTTCATCGTATATGAAAACTTACAGAAGCAAAATACTAGCCATATGACGAATACTTCCATATTCATTTACGTAAACACACACTATCTTGAAAAAATACTGCCATGTGATGAATATATCCATATTCATGTACAAAAACATATACCGTCATGAAAAAAGACAACTTCCACACATTCAAATGAATTACAATCACTAAACCGAAGATCAATTTCAATTTCAAACTTTAGGATAATTCTACTTATTTTTATATCACTTAAATCGACCGAACACGATGAAATCTAGAACGAGACTGCTGATTGTTTGATTCATCATCCTATCATGACTAATTAGTTACGTCATGCGTTCAACCGATTAATCTCCGAACAAGTACGACGAATTCCGTTATAAAAAGTAGGCATACGGGATGGAGTGAGAAGAAATTTAATATACAGTCTCACCGTTGAAGTCAGCATCATATGGTATTTTCCATTATTTAGTTGGTACAAATCAGGATTGTATGAATAGTGTAACTAATTTTGTAATTTCTTTTATACAGGGTGTCCCTGAAAGGTCTGTACAAAATCTCAGCACATATTCCTGAGGTCAAAATGAGCTGATTTAAAGCAACTTACCTCAGTCCGAAATTGCTCCGTTTCCGAGATACAGGGTGGTAAATTTAAAGAATTGAAATCGAATTTCTCAGAATTTAGGAATATTTTTGAACGTATCACTTCAAAAGTTGATATTTGGGGGATTTTTTGGATGCGAAATACCTTTTCACTGTGACCACTAGACGTTTACCAATGCACTTCTCACGGTATTTTTCAGCAAAAAAGATAACCCTTTGAAAATCCGTTAAACTTAGCCGATTTGATATTTCTGTTTTCAATGTTCGATGCAGCACAGGAATATTTAAACTAAACTGCTCAACATTGATAACGTCGTGGTCCAAAATATAGCCTGAATTCAAAGTAGAATAACTCACGACTTTCCTTACCAATTTGAAATCGGTTTTCACCGATGATTGGCCTAATCTCTTGACAGTATGTTGTGGCAATATGGAACTTCTGTAATTTCAGATAACATTGCTACAGGGTGATAATTGAATGGGTGTAAAATTGCATCGTGGTCGTCACCTTACCGTTTGAACAGATAATTTTTCAAATTTTTTTTCTCACCTGTATCCTCTTGATTGATGCTTTCTTTCGAAACTTCTTCGGAATTTTCGAATTCAGAGCTTTGATAACCGTGTTATGAATATTCATTCAAAATGATTTTACACCCATTCAATTATCACCCTGTAGCAATTACAGAAGTTTCATATTATAACAATAAACTGTCAAGACATTAGGCTAATCATCGGTGAAAACCGATTTCAAATCGGCAAGGAAATTCGTGAGTTATTCTACTTTGGATTCAGGCTATATTTTGGACCACGAAGTTATCAATGTTGAGCAGTTTATTTTGAATAAAGTCCCTAAAATCTTGATACTGAGGTTTTGAAACACTTTGTATATAGATTATCATTGATATTTTTGTTGTTTTAATTATTATTAAGGACGGCTGCCACATTTGCCACAAGCAGTTCTCCAATCAGTACACCCTCAAAGCGCACATGGTGGTGCACAGCGCGGAAAAGAAGTTGGCTTGCGCCTTTTGCGGCAAAACGTTCCACTGGAAGGGCCAGCTGAAGGTGCACGAGAGGTCGCACACGGGAGAGAAGCCCTACACCTGCCTCTTCTGTCCCAGCTCGTTCGCTTACAGGTAGGATTGAGACAGCCAGAGACAGAAAGTTACACATGTAAAAACTTCACAAACGATAAGATTTCCACAAATTCTCAAACACACAACATGTTTCGCTAACACAGTAGCTTCTATTATAGTCATTGGGACATTTTGGTAGGTACTTGATAAACACAACGTCAGACGGTTCGAACTACTTGCTTTATTGATAGATATCTGAAGAGTGAGCATCGGACAGTTTAGCATACGGAACCAAGACAAAATTCATATTCATAAACACCAAGCAGTGGCGTCACTTCTTTAATTCACTTTTTGGATATTTCTATTGAAATCCAACAGCTTCGTCAGGTGATATACTGGTACAATGAACTAAATTAACGTTGGCTTGCTCAACTTTTATATATCCTACTTTCCCAACCTGAAGGATTAGTTACCTGTGAACAGGTTCGATAAACTTCCATTTTCGGAAATTAGGCACAATATCTACATTAAAATACGGTGTACCGGATTATCTTGAAAGGGTTGATATCAAATATATATTATTACTTACTAAGAAAACAAATTCAACAGTGGTGAACTATTGAGGTATAATTGATCGTTAAGTAAAATTTCAGAATGTTTGAGTTTGTTGATTTCTAATGATTCAAAATGATTGAGTTTCTACGTATAGAATTTCGAAATTATCATCAAAACTATGGTTTTCTTCTAATATGGCGTATGTTGAATTTGTTTTCTTTTTCAAAAAATTCGTCTTATGTTCATGAATGTCTGACCGATATATACCTTAGGACAAGATCCACAGTTGAGTTTGTATACCCCTGATTTTTCGAATTTAGCAGTTTTGTCTTTATTATTCTTGATAAACCTTCTCAACGTGTTTTTCGTTCTATATGATGCTTTTAAGTCCTGTTTATGTAGAAAATAAATAGGTTAAAGTTCTATGATTTTGATTATTATTCTTGATGGTAAAATAAACTTTTTGAATAGCTTTATTATGAAGTTTTTTAGAAAGAATACTGTATATCAAATCAACGTTGTATCCGTTGTTGACTGTAATCTGTTTTATGATATTGAGTTCTTTATTGAAATTTTCTATTTCTTTTCCTTATACACCTACTTACGATTCGTTCTTAAAACATAATATTCATTATTTATTACGTCGCTCAATAAAGCTTCTAAAACGATATAAGTTGGTGCAACTCCTGACATTTTTGATTTTTTTTTAGTTTTCAACTCTCAATTTGTTGTTGTTTCAGGTTATGGTAACTGACTTAACTTATCACAAACACAAACGAACATACCTATTGTAATTATGCACCAAGTAATTGATGTATAACCCGAATATTTTTAAGTATTTGTAGTATTACTACTGACTATTCCACTCTTGATCTCGAGAACCAATCAGAATCGACCATTTTCACGGTTTCTTCTGTATTCTAGCGATATTTTTTGTTTATTAAATTTTATCGGACGTGCTCTACCAATACAGAAGCCGAATTGACCCACACGTGACCAACAAACCTCGTTTATCAGCGATAAAATTTTGACATCTTGTCTGGTCAAGATTGCTTCGGATTAAAATCTGAGACAATAACCTACCTACTTTAGTTTATTTACTTATAATTCGCGTTAGTGAGACATTTTGTACGAAAGGCCAGACAATTTTATTCTGGCTGGACGTTTTATGTGTAATTTAAAAAGTTTGCATATTTGTTGACGGTCTGACACAACAATACTAGAATTCAAATTCCTTTTCAAAGTAATCTTCGATCACTCAAGTTATTGTGACTAATATAATTACCAGATGATGTGGCGCAACTGGTAGGGTCCTCGGCGACGATATCTTTTTTTTTTTAATTATTTCATGTCACATAAATTCAATTTATTTTGTTTGAATTGGATAGCAATTGTATACACTCTTTTGAGAGCAGCAATCTCCAAGATAATAAAAAAATACTGTTTATCAAAATTGTACATTCCACTTTGTGAATAACTATAAGTAGGTAGTAAATTTCTGAAAAATTGAATTCTGTATTTCAGTATTTCAGAATTATGTTTCCTATTTCATGACATTGATCCAAAACTACTCGCCTACGGCTCGTAGTTTTGATAACAATGTCATTCACGAAATTACTAGGCAACAAGCTGTCGTAACAATCACCGAATATTTCCGGCAAAATATTATCACTTGTGGTATTATATTTGAATATTTCAAACGTCCCTTTCCTATTTCCAGAGACAGTTTGATCAGGCACAGCTCGTTGCACACGGGGGTGAAGCCGTACCTGTGCAAATGCTGCGGCTGGAGGTTCAGCTGCATCGGCAACCTCATCAAGCACAAGGTGACCCACGCGACCAGCTGCGGTGCTTGGTACAAGGAAAACGACAAGGAAACGACCGCGTGAATTTCCGATTGTACTGCGGACTGTTTTCTGATATTTGCGTTGTACAGGGTGATTCACCATAAATGTCCCCTTCCTCTAGCACAGTTATTTTTGGACCGATTTCTAAATTTGAAATATCATTTGGAATGATTTTCGATGAAGTTTTCATCAATAAATCACACTTGGGGTCTAGCGGGAATGATTACAGAGAGCTTGTGAATGCTTGTAAATGCCTCGTCACCATATGTAACTGCGGATTATTCCTATTGTAATGTGAAGTATTGTGATTTTACTGCCGCAGATCATTTTCTGATGTATTGCAATGTATTGTGACTGTAAAATTATTTCGGAAGTGCCCTCAGCTTGAGGTTAATCATTTACTTAATATACAGGATGATCCACAGTCAGAATGTAAATTATAAATATCGACTAATCGAAATCAGGGGCCGATCTGAAAATTGTGAAATTTTAAATGATAATATTTCATTTTGTGATGATTATCTCACACGTCTTCAGTTCTTGAAATTAGTAGTTACAGTGTAATTGGTGTATCTATCTGTGTAGGTATATAATATGATATATGTACTCATATTGCATATTGATGTGGTATATGTGCCTATTTATGAATGTCTACAAATAAAAATTATTCAAATGAATTTATTTTTTATTAATTCTTCACCTTCATGTAAGAAAAAAATTTTAATTACATTTTATCATTATCATTATCTTGAGAGTATGGAAATTTTTGAGAGTTTTAGTGCATCAACGTATTTTGCAGACGAATTGGGATATATGGAGAAGTTTTCAGCGATTTTGGATGTTTCGGATTTTTCTTTAAATTGCTAATATCTCTATATTTATGAGACATACAAAACAACTAACTTTATATTCTGGTTCTGCAGGCCGAGAACATCCTGTATACGAATTCTCAGATCATTCTGAACCTTTAAAAATATCGAAAAATGTTCAAAGGGGTTAACCTTGTTTCTTTTTCAGAGCCAAAATTCAACTTTGTTCTAGAAACTTCAAATTTGGTATTTAGGGCCCTTTAGGCATCCTATAGTGCGGACTAGAAGCACAGCTCTCTAGTCCAAAAATAAAAAAAATGGCAATTTTTCACCCCACTTTGGACCAAAATTTTTCCTCTGAGAAACTATGTAGAAACTGATGAAAATTCGAGTTGATCGACGTGTTCTGCAGGCGAATTGGGATGTGTGGAGAACTTTTCAACGATTTTGCATGTTTCGTATGTTTCTTTAAAATGCTAATATCTCTATATTTATGAGACATACAGAAAAACCGACTTTATATTCTGGTTCTGCAGACCGAGAACATCCTGTATAGAAATTTTCAGCTCATTTTGAGCCCTTGAATATATCGGAAAATGTTCAAAGGGGTTAACCTTGTTTCTTTTTCAGACACAAAAATCAACTTTGTTCTAGAGCTTTCAAATTCGGTATTTAGGGCCCTTTAGGCATCCTCTAGTGCGGACTAGAAGCACAGCTTTCAAATCCTAAAATTAAAAAAATGGCAATTTTTCACCCCACTTTGGACCAAAATTTTTCCTCTGAGAAAGTATGTAGAAACTGATGAATATTCGGGTTGATCGACGTATTCTGCAGACGAATTATTGGGATGTGTGAAGAAGTTTTCAACGATTTTGGATGTTTCGGATTTTTCTTTAAAATGCTAATATCTCTGAATTTATCAGACATACAGAAAAACCGACTTTATATTCTGGTTCTGCAGACCGAGAACATCCTGTATACGAATTTTCAGCTCATTCTGAACCCTTAAAAATATCGAAAAATGTTCAAAGGGGTTAACCTTGCTTCTTTTTCAGACCCAAAAATCAACTTTGTTCTAGAACCTTCAAATTTGGTATTTAGGGCCCTTAAGGCATCCTCTAGTGCGGACTAGAAGCACAGCTTTCTAATCCTAGAATTAAAAAAACATCAATTTTTGACCCCACTTTGAACCAAATTTTTTTCCCCTAACAAACTATATAGACAGACGAATTGGGATGTGTGGAGAAGATTTCAGCGATTTTGTATGTATCGTATTTTTCTTTCAAACGCCAATATCTCGTAAATTATCAGACATACAGAAAAACCGACTCTATATTCCGGTTCTGCAGTCGAGAACATCCTGTATACGAATTTTCAGCTCATTCTGAGCCCTTGAATATATCGAGAAATGTTCAAAGGGGTTAACCTTGTTTCATTTTCAGACCCAAAAATCAACTTCGTTCTAGAACCTTCAAATTTGGTATTTAGGGCCCTTTAGGCATCCTCTAGTGCGGACTAGAAGCACAGCTTTCTAATCCTAAAATTTATAAAATGGCAATTTTTGGCCCCACTTTGGACGAAATTTTTTTCCCTACCAAACAATATAGACAGACGAATTGGGATATGAGGAGAAGTTTTCAGCGATTTTGGATGTTTCGGATTTTTTTTAAAATGCTAATATCTCTGAATTTATCAGACATACAGAGAAACCGGCTTCATATTCTGGTTCTGCAGACCGAGAACATCCTGTATACGAATTTTCAGCTCATTCTGAACCCTTGAATATATCGAAAAATGTTCAAAGGGGTTAGTTAACCTTGTTTCATTTTCAGACCCAAAAATCAACTTTGTTCTAGAACCTTCAAATTTGGTATTTAGGGCCCTTTAGGCATCCTCTAGTGCGGACTAGAAGCACAGCTCTCTAGTCCTAAAATTAAAAAATGGCAATTTTTAACTCCACTTTGGACCAAATTTTTTTCTCTAAGAAACTATGTAGAAACTGATGAAAATTCGAGTTGATCGACGTGTTCTGCAGACGAATTGGGATGTGTGGAGAAGTTTTCAACGATTTTGGATGTTTCAGATTTTTCTTTAAGATGCTAATATTTCTAGATTTATCAGACATACAGAAAAACCGACTTTATATTCTGGTTCTGCAGACCGAGAACATCCTGTATACGAATTTTCAGCTCATTCTGAGCCCTTGAATATATCGAAAAATGTTCAAAGGGGTTAACCTTGTTTCTTTTTCAGACCCAAAAATCAACTTTGTCCTAGTGCCTTCAAATTCGGTATTTAGGGCCCTTTAGGCATCCTCTAGTGCGGACTAGAAGCACAGCTCTCTAGTCCTAGAATTAAAAAAAATTCAATTTTTGACCCCACTTTGTACAAAATTTTTTTCCCCTAGCAAACTATATAGACAGACGAATTGGGATGTGTGGAGAAGTTTTCAGCGATTTTGGATGTTTCGGATTTTCCTTAAAAATGCTAATATCTCTAAATTTATCGGACATACGGAGAAACCGACTTCAGATTCTGGTTCTGCAGACCAAGAACATCCTGTATACGAATTTTCAGCTCATTCTGAGCCCTTGAATATATCGAAAAATGTTCAAAGGGGTTAACCTTGTTTCTTTTTCAGACCCAAAATTCAACTTTGTTCTAGAGCCTTCAAATTTGGTATTTAGGGCCCTTTAGGCATTCTCTAGTGCGGACTAGAAGCACAGCTCTCTAGTCCTAAAATTGAAAAATGGCAATTTTTGACCCCACTTTGGACCAAAATTTTTCCCCTAACAAACTATATAGACAGACGAATTGGGATGTGTGGAGAAGTTGTCATCGATTTTGGATGTTTCGGATTTTTCTTTAGAATGCTAATATCTCTAAATTTATCAGACATACAGAGAAAACGACTTCATATTCTGGTTCTGCAGACCGAGAACATCCTGTATACGAATTTTCAGCTCATTCTGAACCCTTAAAAATATCGAAAAATGTTCAAAGGGGTTAACCTTCTTTATTTTTCAGACTAAAAAATCAACTTTGTTCTAGAACCTTCAAATTTGGTATTTAGGGCCCTTCAGGCATCCTCTACTGTGGACTTGAAGCACAGCTCTCTAGCCCTAAAATTGAAAAAATGTCAATTTTTGACCCTACTTTCGACCAAGATTTTTTCTCTAAGAAACTATGTAGAAACTGATGAAAATTCGAGTTGATCGTGTTCTGCAGACGAATTGGGATGTGTGGAGAAGTTTTCAGCGATTTTGGATGTTTCGGATTGTTCTTTAAAATGCTGATATCTCTATATTTATGAGACATACAGAAAACATTAAAATGCTAATATCTCTAAATTTATCAGACGTACAGAGAAACCGACTTCATATTCTGGTTCTGCAGACCGAGAACATCCTGTATACGAATTTTCAGCTCATTCTGAGCCCTTGAATATATCGAAAAATGTTCAAAGGGGTTAACCTTGTTTCATTTTCAGACCCAAAAATCAACTTTGTTCTAGAACCTTCAAATTTGGTATTTAGGGCCCTTTAGGCATCCTCTAGTGCGGACTAGAAGCACAGCTTTCTAATCCTAAAATTAAAAAAATGGCAATTTTTGACCCCACATTGGACCAAAATGTTTCCTCTAAGAAACTGTAGAAACTGATGAAAATTTGTGTTGATCGACGTGTTCTGCAGACAAATTGGGATGTGTGGAGAAGTTTTCAGCGATTTTGGATGTTTCGGATCTTACATTAAAATGCTAATATCTCTGAATTTATGAGACATAGAGAGAAAGTGACTTTATATTCCGGTTCTGCAGACCGAGAACATCCTGTATACGAGTTTTCAGCTCATTCTGAACCCTTAAAAATATCGAAAAATGTTCAAAGGGGTTAACCTTGTTTCTTTTTCAGACCCAAAAATCAACTTTGTTCTAGAGCCTTCAAATTCGATATTTAGGGCCCTTTAGGCATCCTCTAGTGCGGACTAGAAGCACAGCTCTCTAGTCCTAAAATTAAAAAAATGGCAATTTTCGACTCCACTTTGGACCAACATTTTTCTCTAAGAAACTATGTAGGAACTGATGAAAATTCGAGTTGATCGACGTGTTCTGCAGACGAATTGGGATATGTGGAGAAGTTTTCAGCGATTTTGGATGTTTCGGATTTTTCTTTAAAATGCTAATATCTCTATATTTATGAGACATACAAAAAAACTGACTTTATATTCCGGTTCTGCAGACTGAGAACATCCTGTATACGAATTTTCAACTCATTCTGAGCCCTTGAATATGTCGAA